AGTAATTGTGACTGCGATCATCCCATCAACCATCGCTCAGCTACCTGGCGTGTAAATATTACACAATCTCCGTATCTCCACGTCTTCTACAATCAACACCCGCTTCGCCTTACTATTGATACTGGTGCAGAGACCAACATGATAAAGGCCTCCCTTGCCCATTACATCGGTTGCCCAATATCCAAGAGTTCGCAACTTGCGTTGCAAGCTGATGGTCGTACTCCGCTCTCTATTGTCGGCGAAACCCGCCTGTCATTGTCCCGTAATGGCAAGACCCTTACCCTCGAGGCTCTTGTTGTAGAAGACCTTGATGTTGATATCCTCGCCGGAACACCTTTCATGACCTGCAACGACATTGCTGTCCGACCCGCAAAGCATGAAATTATCATCGCTGGTTCTGACATTGTACCCTATGGGTCCCCCAATAGTTCCTTCAAATACCATGTTGTCAGATATTGTCATGTATTGCGTGCACCTCTTACGAACACCACTATTTGGCCTGGTGGTTTCCTTGAGGTTGATATCCCTATAGACTTTCCACCCGATACCCAACTTGCTGTTGAGCCCCGGGTCGATTCTACTTCGTGTCAATCAATTAAGTCCTCCCATGCATGGCCCCAACCCGGTATTCTTGAGTCTGTCGGCAGAAAGCTTAGACTTGTCAATTGTTCCACCGAGCCGATCTTTATTAAAAAGAACGACCACATATGCCAGGCTCGCCTCGTTACAAGCAGCTCCCCTCCACAAATGCAAGTGCCCAGCTCACCAGACCTTGGACCCCCACCCCTACCACTCCACACTCCTGGATATCATTCAGAGCAAGTTTCCGTAGATCCCGACGGCATTTTCTCACGTGACGAGAAGCGCGACACTCTCTCTTGAAGGAGTTTGATCGTGTATTCGATCCTGTTATACCCGGGTACAACGGCGCCGCCGGTCCCATCGAAGGTGTCGTCAACATGGGTCCAGTTCAACCCCCCCAGCGAAAAGGTCGTATGCACCAGTATGCTCGCGGTCAACTAGAGCAATTGCAGACTAAGTTCGACGAACTTGAACAAACAGGGGTGTTTCAACGTCCCGAGGACCTAAACGTTGTTGCAGAATACCTGAACCCTTCCTTCCTCGTCAAAAAAAAGAGTGGTGGCTTTCGCCTGGTTACCGCCTTCTCCGATGTTGACAGATACAGTAAACCCCAACCCTCGCTAATGCTCGACGTCGATTCCACTCTCCGCAAGATTGCCTGCTGGCGCTATACAGTATAATCGTTTCTGATCTGTCTCAGTCGTTTTATCAGATACCTCTTGCCAAAAGCTCCCTCAAGTACTGCGGTGTAGCTACACCCTTCAAAGGCGTCCGCATTTATACCAGATGTGCCATGGGAATGCCTGGCTCGGAAACAGCATTAGAAGAGCTGATGTGCCGCGTCCTCGGTGACCTCCTCCAAAATGGATGTGTCGCCAAAATCGCTGATGACCTCTACTGCGGTGGCTACACCCCTACAGAGCTCCTATCCAACTGGAGAAAAGTCCTGACAGCCTTAGATAAATGTGATCTCCGTCTCGCAGCCAAGAAAACCATAATTTCTCCTGTTTCAACTACCATCCTTGGCTGGATATGGTCTCGCGGCTCAATTTGTGCCTCTCCCCATCGTATAGCAGCCCTCTCTTCCTGCACCCCTCCAAAAACAGTCCGAGATCTTCGCGCTTTCATTGGATCCTACAAAATGCTCAGCCGTGTTATTGAAGGTTCAGCTTCCATCCTCGCCCCCCTCGAGAGTATTACCGCCGGGAACCAATCAAGCAGCCCTGTGGTTTGGTCTGAGTCCCTTACAACCTCCTTCTACCACGCTCAAGAAGCACTTTCATCCAACAAGTCAATTGTGATCCCAAAACCTGAAGACCTACTTTGGATTGTTACTGACGGCTCTGTGAAGATGAATGGTCTCGGTGCCACACTCTATGCCCTTCGTGACAACAAATTGCTTCTTGCTGGTTTCTTCAGCGCAAAGACCAGAAAACATCAAGTTACTTGGCTCCCCTGCGAAGTTGAAGCACTGTCCATCGCGTCCGCCATCAAACATTTTGCTCCTTATATCATCCAGTCCAAGTTCCAAACCTGTGTGCTGACCGACAGCAAACCCTGCGTCCAGTCTTTCGAGAAACTGTGCCGTGGCCAGTTCTCCGCCAGCCCACGTGTTACCACCTTCCTTTCCACCGCCAGCCGATACCAGATATCTCTCCGTCACCTTTCTGGCTCTGCCAACCTACCATCCGACTTCGCAAGCCGCAACGCACCACCCTGTGATGACCCTCGTTGTCAGATTTGTTCCTTCATCTCTAAAGCTGAAGACTCTGTGGTTCGCCCAATTTCCGTCCATGACGTCCTCTCTGGCGCTGTTACTCTTCCCTTCACCACTCGTTCTGCATGGTTACAAACCCAACAAGAATGTCCCGACCTACGCCGTGCCCACTCTCATCTCAAGCAGGGTACCCGTCCATCCAAGAAGTCCACCAATATTAAGGATGTCAAGCGCTATCTCAATGTTGCCTCTCTGTCTAGAGACGGTCTAGTGGTCGTTAGAAAAGAAGAGCCCTTTTCTCCCTCCCGCGAATGTATCATCGTCCCACGCCCTGTCATAGACGGCCTGCTTACGGCACTCCACGTCAAACTTAACCACCCTTCTCGACACCAGCTCAAACAAGTCGTCCTTCGCTATTTCTACGCATTGGACCTTGATAAAGCCCTAGACCGGTGCTCACAGTCATGCCACATTTGCGCCTCACTTCAGAAGATACGCAACTGTTTGATTGAACAGTCCACATCGGACCCTCCTGATGCAGTTGGCCTTTCATTTGCGGCCGATGTAATGATCGTGAAGAGAAACAAACAGCTCATCCTGGTCGTTCGCGAGACAACTACAATCAGTTTCAAAAGTCTTGGGACAGATGCCACAAAACCTTTGAATTTCAACAAACGACAATCCCCCCCGCCCCCTGTTCAATGTTGTGTCCCATTTCTCGTCGAGTTTGATGTGTTTTGGTTTAAACAACATTGATTGGGGTGGGGGGAGGGGGAGGGGAGCGGTATTGTGTGTAAAAAAACTATAATGATCCACTTACAAACTAAAACTACATGTGTCCCAACAACTTCTGAAAGTGATTGTCTGGGCCCCATATGCCATAACATCATTGTACATTTCAAAAGTACAGGGAATAGAATGCTCTGTGAACGAAGTATTTCAGCTCCATTTCGTTCACAGAACATCTAATGACATTATAGAACAATTAGGTTTCATTAAAATTCTCAAAGTTAATAATAACAGAATATGAATATAATTTGTTATGTCATATTGCATTCTTAATCACAAAGGTTTTATACGTTGTTTGTTTCTACAAATTTTGGCAGATCACTAGTAGGTTATTTGAGAGGTTATAGTCCGTCAATAAAGATAGGTATCGCAAATGTTTTACGCTAGATATGTCACACATACTGTTAATTTATAGCATAGTATTATAACATCCGGTCACTTTCGCATTCGGGTAAGGGCTGAGTCAACTGCTAATTCGAGTACTCCGAAGGTAAAGAACGTTTGATTTTTATCACCAATAGTGAATGTGACATTTCACATCTTTCTAGAGCAGAATTTGCAGATATAATTGTCGACGCATGGGTACGAAGGAGCACTCAGTGGGTGGGAATTTCGGAGGCTAATGGAAAGGGCGGTATCATATAGTATATATAGTCACTTCCACATGGCTAAAAAATTGTCCGCAAGATCAAGTTGGCGAACTATCGGAAAGCTCGAGAAGAGTAAGTTCGGCATTTAATTGTACTCAGTCAGACAATCCCAAAAATTACTATTCAGCGTATTGGTACGTGGTAAAGAATGACCCGGACTTCGTGATTTCTCCAGGGCTTATAGACCTCCCTAATGCTGACGCGTTAGCAAGTACTAGCGCGCGCGACCCGCCGAAGCGAGGACGTTGCACAGGCTTCCAAAAATATGTAACGAAAGGGACTCGCTGTATACGGCGTTGTACGCATTATACAACACAAAGTTATTGTTATACGCTAATTATGCTAATGCGCGTTTCCGGTCCAGACGAATGCAATGAAACTAACATCGGTTGTCACTTCGATTGTCACTATAGAAATATGAAATAATGGGCAACTAGGCAGTTTTTAAATCAGAACAAGGCTAAGAATAATTTGTTGAGAATGTCTAACAATGTATTTGCTATTAATGAAAGGGTTTGAAATTGATTAATCCAAGTTTTGGATCGATTGACACTTTTCTACATAAATAAATCTGATATATCATAGTGATATTTCTAGAGTTGAGTGTCAATCGATACATTTTATACAATTTATACACTTTGTGATTAAGTAGAACCCGTAATATATCAATACGCGCTACCTAAACACTTTTGCTTCGTACTTAATATTCTGAAAATTACAGTTTCCCGCGACAATTGAAAGTTATATCAATGAAAATGCTATGTGTTTCAAAGTGACAACCGAGTGACAATCGAGCACGTGTTCAAACCGTTTTATATTACATACATATTTTCATGTCAAATATGCACAATCTTTAAGTGGTTTTCAATAACTTACCCTTGCATTTTATTCAGCAATAACCTAGGTCGATAATTAACCAGATAGATGTGTTTTATCCCTTGCATATAGAGCAGGTTTAATCTCTCAGCCTACGTCCCTCCCCACATATCACATCTGTTTATAAGCTCATTTATAATATACTGTTCAGTCTGTTTGATTATGTTACATTTCAAATGTATTGACCACAACAAGCACAGTATAAAAGAATTATATATGCCAGTGCAATTCAGTAAATATGTTATACTAAATGCTATACGATTTTTGCAAAACTGATATTCTAAAACACTCGGTAATTCGAAGAGGTTAAATATGCTTTTCATTGCCTTTCAGACAATCAGTTTCAAAAGTCTTGGGACAGATGCCACAAAACGTTTGAATTTCAACAAACGACAATCCCCCCCGCCCCCTGTTCAATGTTGTGTCCCATTTCTCGTCGGGTTTGATGTGTTTTGGTTTAAACAACATTGATTGGGGTGGGGGGAGGGGGAGGGGAGCGGTATTGTGTGTAAAAAAATTATAATGATCCACTTACAAACTAAAACTGCATGTGTCCCAACAACTTCTGAAAGTGATTGTACTTCGTTTACCACGTCCTGCATAATAGAAAATGAACGCCATGATACTCTCCGTGCTAGCCTCATGCATTTTCCTCTGCCTTGAGCTACGCCCAATATCTGGCCCATGCGCAGTAATCAGAGTCGATCCAGCTCCCGGATTTGCTTCCCTATTCAACGACGAGGAATTGCGACGACATAAAATTACCGTTGAGATTGGTCGCGTAAAGAACGTGAACAAGAACCCCGTGGCCGAGAAATGCATTGCCGAGCTCGGTGATGAACTGTTGCGCGTCTCTCCAGAAGGTGGTGCCGTCTCCCCTGTAACACTAGCGATTGCCACGGCAAACCTGAATACTCGTATTCGTGACAGAGGTCTATCCGCCCGTGAGATGTGGTACCAGCGTGACCAGTTTACGAATTCGCAACTTTCCATCTCCGACCTACACCTAATCAGAGAACAGCACTCTCACCGTATACATAATCACCCTGCCAGTGAGAAGTCTAAAACCCCTAGTGGTCAACGCCGAGCATCGCCCGCCCTTCAAGTTGGCGACCTGGTATATATCACTTCAGATGGCTCCAAAACTCGTGCACGAGATCGATACTTGGTTGTGTCAATTGATGGGTCGTGGTGTAATGTACGCAAGTTTGCTGGTTCCCAACTCCGATCCTCGCCATATCGCATCAAGTTATCAGAGTGCTTTCTTGTCACCAACAATTTCACTGCTCCACCTCCAAGTCCTCGTCTCCACCAACCTCACAAGTACACTCCAGCTGCTGAACCCAAGCCTCCCTGTCCACCTCGAGTCCCGGAAAAGTTATCCCTTCCTCCCTACAACGATGATTGTGTTTTACTCTCATCTCACACCACTTGTTTCCCTGGTCCTGATTACAAACATTCCCCGTCTAACTCTTATAAAGCTGATGAGCTCACTACTAGTCTTCCTAGCCCCTGCCAGTCACCCTCCACCCCCGCTGCATCCGAAGATTCACCTGCCCCTCGACGCTCCAGTCGCCAACGCCATTCTCCCGTTCACCTGCAAGACTTTGTTACATAGTTGAACGTTTATATATAGCTTAAATTTATATTGGTTTACACTAACACTCTCGGAACAATATGTAGAGAAAGACAGACAAAAAGTAGTCACGCCATAGTGTGGCTTTTAGTTGTTATTGTTGTTAGTAAAGATCACATGCGCCTGCGATCTTGTTCGCGCCTAGGCGACCTTTACTTCATGTTAGTATACTCTTGTGGCTTGTCTTGGCCTCGTTGTTGTTTTATTCATAACATAGTATTAAAGACTACCATTTAAAGTCGTCGTTTTAGCTTCGCTGTCGAGTGCCCTCCTAAACATTGGCGATCAGTCAATGGTTTGATACTGCCCGATAATGCCCGATACCCCCCTGGGGCAAACCACTGACTGGAACATAATATGTCCTCATGGACACAGGTAAACTTGCAAAAATTTTTAAAATTAAACACATCAATGCATGTTAAACCTGTAAAATGTTAAATAACTTCTTGTTGATTTAATGTTTATTAATATAATTTCGCCATAAAATGATTTAAAATTGTCTTGATTAAAATTCAAAGTTTTAAATTATTTTTGGTCGTTCCACTTTAAAAATCAATTTTAGAAATTACCAAGCAAAGCATTTTAAAATTTCTAATTACAAAAGTTGAAAATTAACATTTAATTTAAAATGGTAATTGAACATTTCATTGATAAAATTGAGAATAGGCTGTGATCTTTGACTGATAAATGCGACAAAGACCTCAAGAACTAAATCTATTTTTTTGAATTAATCGTACATACAGTATATCAGATCAACCTATTTGAACGACTGAACATTCGCGTGTTTAAACATTAGCAGAAATATTAAAATCAAATTTTAACTTTCCTTTTAACAGCTGCCTTAATAAATCAATTTCCCCTGTGGCATGTACTCCAGGAACATATTCCAATACTGGTGAAACTAAATGTAACAACTGTACTAAAGGATATAAATGTCCATTCAATAAAATGCAATCAGCAGTACAATGTCTAAATGGAACATATTCTAATGAAACAAAGTCAACTGAATGTAAAACATGTCCAGCTGGATTTTCTTGTCCAAATGTTGATGAAACTCCAGTGGAATGTAAGAATGGATATTATAGTCTGGGAGCGACAACACAATGTTTAATATGTCCTCATGGACACAGGTAAAGTTACAAAAATCTTTAAAATTAAACACATTAATGCATGTTAAAACTGTAAAACGTTAAATAACTTCTTGTTGATTTAATGTTTATTAATATAATTTCGCCATTAAATGATCTAAAAATGTCTTGATTAAAATTCAAAGTTTAAAATTATTTTTGGTCGTTCCACTTGTTATTTTAAAAATCAATTTTATAAATTACCAAGCAAAGCATTTTAAAATTTCTAATTACAAAAGTTGAAAATAAACATTTAATTTAAAATGGTGGACGTTTAGGAGATCGTTTAATGCAAATTTCTGTAAGTTGAGGGGAGCGTTTATTGGAATGGGGCATTTATTAGATACTGTAGTAGCCGCCTATTAGAATTATATTAATATACGGTATACCCATTTTTGAGAGAGGGATTACTTTGTATTAAACATCCCGAAGACTACATTCTGCTTCGTACGAATCCATTGTTGGAACGTTAAATTTGGAGCTAGACAATTGTATATTTTTACCCTTTCTGTAAGAATTACGACAGCCACTCAATCTGAAGAGTACCCCTAGGTTTTAAATTTTTATTCATTATTGTATTTTTTGTTTGTTGATAGCTGTTTCGATGGTTCAAAACCTCCCAGTATTTGCCTAAAAGGAACATATTCTACTGCTGGGAAAACAGCATGTACTAACTGTTCGAAAGGCTTCAAATGTCCATCTGATGGTATGGATACTCAGACTGCTTGTGGAAATGCAACGTATGCTGATCAACCAATGTCTGTTGAATGTAAAACTTGCCCGGCTGGTTATGCTTGTCCTAGATCTGATCAAGATCCTGTAGAGTGTAAGAATGGAACATACAGTCTGGAGGGATCGTCTGAATGTGACATTTGTTCTGCTGGACACAGGTAAGCTCTATAAGATATATCTGTACGTAGATTGTGCCGCGAAATATTCGTTTCAAATTTGGACCTTTCAAGTGTTGCAAAGTCAGCTGTAGTACATATACGGACAAACCGATCTGGTCTTTTGAGGGTGTGTGAGCACTGTGAGAGTGCTGATGGTGCGTGAAATGGTTCGAGGGTGTTGAGGTGGAGTGAGGTGATGTGAGGGTGTGTGAAGTGGTGTGCAGTGTGAGGCTGTTGAGGGTGTGTGAGCACTGTGAGGGTGCTGATGGTGCGTGAGATGGTTCGAGGCTGTTGAGGTGGAGTGAGGTGATGTGAGGGTGTGTGAAGTGGTGTGCAGTGTGAGGCTGTTGAGGGTGTGTGAGGTGATATGAGGATACTGAGGGGGATGTTTAGGACTTAGGAGGTCGTTTAATGCAAATTTCTGTAAGTTGAGGGGAGCGTTTATTGGAGTGGGGCATTTATTAGATGCTGTAGCAGCCGCCTATTAGAATTATATTAGTATACGGTATACCCATTTTTGAGAGAGTACATTCTGCTTCATACGAATCCGTTGCTGGAACGTAAAATTTGGAGCTAGAAAATTGTATATTTTCCCTTTCTGTAAGAATCATGACATCCACTCAATCTGAAGAGTACCCCTTGGTTTTAAATTTTTATTCATTATTGTATTTTTTGTTTGTTGATAGCTGTTCCGATAGTTCAAAACCTCCCAATATTTGCCTAAAAGGAACATATTCTACTGCTGGAACATATTCTACTGCTGGAAAAACAGCATGTACTAACTGTTCAAAAGGCTTCAAATGTCCATCTGATGGTATGGATACTCAGACTGCTTGTGGAAATGCAACGTATGCTGATCAACCAATGTCTGTTGAATGTAAAACTTGCCCGGCTGGTTATGCCTGCCCTAGGTCTGATCAAGATCCTGTAGAGTGTAAGAATGGAACATACAGTCTGGAAGGATCGTCTGAATGTGACATTTGTCCTGCTGGACACAGGTAAAGCTCTATAAATATATCTGTACGTAGACGTAGATTGTGCCGCGAAATATTCGTTTCAAATTTGGACCTTTCAAGTGTTGCAAAGTCAGCTGTAGTACATATACGGACAAACCGATCTGGTCTTTTGAGGGTGTGTGAGCACTGTGAGGGTGCTGATGGTGCGTGAAATGGTTCGAGGGTGTTGAGGTGGAGTGAGGTGATGTGAGGGTGTGTGAAGTGGTGTGCAGTGTGAGGCTGTTGAGGGTGTGTGAGCACTGTGAGGGTGCTGATGGTGCGTGAGATGGTTCGAGGCTGTTGAGGTGGAGTGAGGTGATGTGAGGGTGTGTGAAGTGGTGTGCAGTGTGAGGCTGTTGAGGGTGTGTGAGGTGATATGAGGATACTGAGGGGGATGTTTAGGACTTAGGAGGTCGTTTAATGCAAATTTCTGTAAGTTGAGGGGAGCGTTTATTGGAGTGGGGCATTTATTAGATGCTGTAGCAGCCGCCTATTAGAATTATATTAGTATACGGTATACCCATTTTTGAGAGAGTACATTCTGCTTCATACGAATCCGTTGCTGGAACGTAAAATTTGGAGCTAGAAAATTGTATATTTTCCCTTTCTGTAAGAATCATGACATCCACTCAATCTGAAGAGTACCCCTTGGTTTTAAATTTTTATTCATTATTGTATTTTTTGTTTGTTGATAGCTGTTCCGATAGTTCAAAACCTCCCAAGTATTTGCCTAAAAGGAACATATTCTACTGCTGGAAAAACAGCATGTACTAACTGTTCGAAAGGCTTCAAATGTCCATCTGATGGTATGGATACTCAGACTGCTTGTGGAAATGCAACGTATGCTGATCAACCAATGTCTGTTGAATGTAAAACTTGCCCGGCTGGTTATGCCTGCCCTAGGTCTGATCAAGATCCTGTACAGTGTACTAATGGAAAATACAGCCTGGGAGGATCGTCTGAATGTGACATTTGTCTTGCTGGACACAGGTAAGTTCTATAAAATATATCTACAGTGTATCAACGTTAGATTACACATGTAAAGGCTGCAGTAGTATTACACGGGCTGATTCCAGGGTGTTGAGGTGGAGTGAGGTGATGCGGGCGTGTGTGAGTGTTGTGAAAGTGCTGAAGATGTGTGATTCCGTGTGAGGTGGAGTAAAGTGGCGTGTGACGATGCTGCAGGTGTGTCAGATTAGTAAGACGTGTGAAGTTGTGAATTTGGTGGTGTGTGGGTGCTGAGGCGGTGTGTGTGATGCTGAGGTGGAATGAGGTGTGTGAAGTGGTGTCAGTATGTCAGTAAGTTCTAACAATCATTAGAATGCAGTTCAGAGTACAATTATTTTCTGCAGTTTGTCCCCGCAAGCACCACCACATAAGTTCCATTTGTCCTATTTGTGTCTATGTCTTTTATTTATAAACTGTCAAACTTTCAGTTAGAAAAAAATCACGAGGACACCACCACATTTCACCATATATACTTAAGGGTACATCGGCCATACACGTACTGCGAATTTTCAGAATTCTCCTTTGATTTAAAAATGCAACAATCTCCTTTCTATTTAAAATCCTTGCTTAGCCAAACTTGTAATCCTCTGGATTTAAACGATTCAGCCTAAATATTGTTAGTAAAATATATGTAATTGAATTCATTCAAAATACAGTTCATACTTTTTAACAGCTGCCTTAATAAATCAATTTCCCCTGTGGCATGTACTCCAGGAACATATTCCAATACTGGTGAAACTAAATGTAACAACTGTACTAAAGGATTTAAATGTCCACTTAACAAAATGCAATCAGCAGTACAATGTCTAAATGGAACATATTCTAATGAAACAAAGTCAACTGAATGTAAAACATGTCCAGCTGGATTTTCTTGCCCAAATACTGATGAAACTCCAGTGGAATGTAAGAATGGATATTATAGTCTGGGAGCAACAACACAATGTATGATATGTCCTCATGGACACAGGTAAAATATACATATAAATTTTTAAAATTAAACACATTAATGTTAACAACAGATAAAAATTAATGGTGAATAATTTCTTGTTGCTTTTAAAATAATGGTATAATTTCGTCATTAAATGGCCTGTAAAGTTGTTTTAGAATTGTTTTTGATTGCTACTTAATTGGTACTTTATGAACCCACTTTGTAAGTTATACCAAGCAAACTATTTAAAATTTCCAATAAAAAACGTATGTTGAACAAGAACATTTAACTTAAGATGGTATAATTGAACTTTTCATTGATAAAATTGAGAATAAATAATCTCCTGTTGATTTAATGTGTATATTTAGTGACATAGTTTCGTCATTATATGACTTAGAATTGTTTTAAAATTCGATAAACAGAGGCAACAATTCCTGGATCCAAAAGAAAATTTAAAATTATCCTTGTATGGTTGTTTGTTTAAAAACCATGCATTTTCTAATTTAGTAACCAAAATATTTAAAATTTTCAATTAGAAAAGTTAAAAATTAACGTTTAACTTCAAATGGTGATAATTTGACATTTTGTTTGTAATGTCGAGAACAGGCTGTGATATTGTACTCACGAATGCGGTAAAGATCTTAACAGTGAAATCTAATTCTTAAATCATTCAGCATAAATATTGAAATAAAACCATGCAGATGTAATTAAGGAATATTTGTTCTGTACATGAAATGATATGTACTGTGGTCGAAATAACTTATACGGTTGTACGGGTACAGCACATTCTATGTACACCAAATTTTATAAAATAATTGTAAATTGTAATTTTCCTTTTAACAGCTGCCTTAATAAATCAATTTCCCCTGTGGCATGTACTCCAGGAACACATTCCAGTACTGGTGAAACTAAATGTAACGACTGTATTAAGGGATATAAATGTCCATTCAATAAAATGCAATCAGCATTACAATGTCTAAATGGAACATATTCTAATGAAACAAAGTCAACTGAATGTAAAACATGTCCAGCTGGATTTTCTTGTCCAAATGTTGATGAAACTCCAGTGGAATGTAAGAATGGATATTATAGTCTGGGAGCAACATCACAATGTTTAATATGTCCTCATGGACACAGGTAAACTTGCATAAATATTTAAAGGTGAATGACACGAAATTTTTTATTGTCCCATCTGAAAGAATAGTGAATACTGTAAAGTAACTTCTTTTACAGATTTTCGTTTACATTCTTCCTTGGTGAGATAATTCAGTTTTGTTCACATGCAATGCAAACAAATTTACGTCACAGTTTGCATAATGAGCTACCAAATATTTGATGATGTATGTATTTTTATCCAACATCGTCATTTGCAAAACTGCATATGCTTTACATTGTCCTCAATATAACGCATATATGGATTTTCAAACGATGTAATCACTTATATACTTGATAACCTGACATTTAACGATAACTCATTATGCAAAGTGTGACGTAAATTTGTTTGCACTGCATATCAAGAAAACTGAATATCCCACCAAGGAAGCACGTAAACAAAAATGTGCAAAAGAAGTTGCTTTACAGTTTTGATGATTCTTTCAGATGGGGCAATAAAAAATTTCGTGTCAGGTCACCTTTAAAATGAAAGACATTAATGCATGTTAAAACTGTAAAATGTTAAATAACTTCTTGTTTATTTAATGTTTATTAATATAATTACGCCAACAAATGATCTAAAATTGTCTTGTTTAAAATTCAAAGTTTACAATTATTTTTGGTCGTTCCACTTGTTGTTTTAAAAATCAATTTTATAAATTACCAAGCAAAGCATTTTGAAATTTCTAATTACAAAAGTTGAACATTAATTAACATTTAATTTAAAATGGTAATTGACATTACATTGATAAAATTGAGAATAGGCTGTGATGTTTGACTGATAAATGCGACAAAGATCTCAAGAACTAAATCTATTTTTTTTTAATTAATCGTACATATACAGTATAGCCTACCAGATCAACCTATTTGAACGACTGAACAGTCGCGTGTTTAAACATCATTAGCAGAAAATATTAAAATCAAATTTTAACTTTCCTTTTAACAGCTGCCTTAATAAATCAATTATCCCTGTGGCATGTTCTCCAGGAACATATTCCAATACTGGTGAAACTAAATGTAACAACTGTAGTAAGGGATATAAATGTCCATTCAATAAAATGCAATCAGCATTACAATGTCTAAATGGAACATATTCTAATGAAACAAAGTCAACTGAATGTAAAACATGTCCAGCTGGATTTTCTTGCCCAAATGTTGATGAAACTCCAGTGGAATGTAAGAATGGATATTATAGTCTGGGAGCAACAACACAATGTTTAATATGTCCTCATGGACACAGGTAAACTTACATAAATCTTTAAAATTAAACACACTAATGTTACAACTATAAAATGTTATTTAAATATTTTCTTGTTCGTTGATGTTTAAAGATATAATTTTGTCATTAAAAGGTCTAAATTTGTTTTAATTAATTAAGATTAAAAGTTTAAATTATTTTTGGTTGCTACTTCTTACTTTAAAACCCATTTTATAAATTACCAAGCGAAATATTTTAAAATTTCCAGTTACAAGAGTTGAACATTAATGTTTAATTTAAGATGGTAATTGAACTTTTCATTGGACATTGATAAAATTGAACTTTTCATTAGACATTGATAAAATCGAGGATAAAATTGAGAACAGGCTGTGATTTTTAGTTGTAAATCCGACAAAGATCTCAACGAACGAAATCTATTTTTTAAATAATCCAACATACCAGATAAACGTATTTCAGCGATTGAACCAGTTTCAAGTTTTTAAAATTTATTCAGCTTAAATATTAAAATCAAAATAGATCTAATTAAAAAGCAACTCTGTTATGGTTGTAAAACGATATGTATTTGTATAGGTATAATGTATGATTTCGAGTGCAATTTGGAAAAACATGCACGAGTGAGTTTTTCAAGATTGCACGGGTCCGAAGGGGTTAGCACTATTTTCCATCCAGCAAACTGACCTGACGTCATTTTCGCAAGATAGAAGAGGTGTTAAATGGCTATGTAACTAACCCAAACCCTACCCCTACTCTAACCCCTAACCTCAACCCTAACTCTAACCCTAACCGAATTAATAAAAAAATCCAAAAAGAAACGACTTTACAAAATCGATAGGGCGGTTTGCTGGATGGAAAAAAAGTGCTAACCGTCCGAAGGACGAGTGCAATTTGAAGTCGTTGAAAAACTCACGAGTGTATGTTTTTTCAAATTGTATATACGAGAAACCACACTATTATTTATTAATAATATACATGAAAAAATTATGCAGTCACTCCTAAAAACTCCTAAATGTTTGTTTTTTTTGTATTATAATTTCTGCTAGAAATTGATATTTCTTATTGGCTATATCTTTGTTATTGTTTCATATTTTAAGCCAATCATCATGCAGAAAGCCTAAATAGTCAATAAAATTTGCACTGTATTTCTTTTTTTTTGCACTGTATTTCCAAAAAATTGCAATTGCTCTTAGCCAATCAGAATTGAGAATTTTTTTCATGTACATTATTATTGTCGAAGTAAATTATACGGTTAGAAATGTACATCACATTCTAGAAAATAACTCTAAACGTTAACTTTCCTTTTAACAGCTGCCTTAATAAATCAATCTCCCCTGTGGCATGTACTCCAGGAACATATTCCAATACTGGTGAAACTAAATGTAACAACTGTACTAAGGGATATAAATGTCCATTCAATAAAATGCTGTCAGCATTACAATGTCTAAACGGAACATATTCTAATGAAACGAAGTCAACTGAATGTAAAACATGTCCAGCTGGATTTTCTTGTCCAAATGTTGATGAAACTCCAGTGGAATGTAAGAATGGATATTATAGTCTGGGAGCAACAACACAATGTTTAATATGTCCTCATGGACACAGGTAAACTTAACAACTATAAAATGGTAAATAATTTCTAAATAATTTTTACCAAAATATTTTAAAATTAAGAAGTTGTCAATTAAAAAAGTTAAAAATTATCGTTTAACTTAATGGTGATAGTTTGACTTTTTATTGCCGTAATGTCGAGAACAGGCTGTGATATTGGACTCACAAATACGGCAAAGATCTTAACAGTGAAATCGAATTCTTAAATCATTCAGCATAAATATTGAAATAAACCAGATGTAATTAAATAATATTTGTTCTGTACATGAAATGATATTTACTGTGGTCGAAATAACTTATACGGTTGTACAGGTACAACAACACATTCTATGTATACACCAAATTTTATAAAATAATTCTAAATTGTAATTTTCCTTTTAACAGCTGCCTTAATAAATCAATTTCCCCTGTGGCATGTACTCCAGGAACACATTCCAATACTGGTGAAACTAAATGTAACAACTGTACTAAGGGATATAAATGTCCATTCAATAAAATGCTGTCAGCAATACAATGTCTAAATGGAACATATTCTAATGAAACAAAGTCAACTGAATGTAAAACATGTCCAGCTGGATTTTCTTGCCCAAATGTTGATGAAACTCCAGTGGAATGTAAGAATGGATATTATAGTCTGGGAGCAACAACACAATGTTTAATATGTCCTCATGGACACAGGTAAACTTACAAAAATCTTTAAAATTAAACACATTAATGCATGTTAAAACTGTAAAATGTTAAATAATTTCTTGTTGATTTAATGTCTATATTGATCTAATTTCGCCATTAAGTGATCTAAAATTGTCTTGATTAAAATTCAAAGTTTAACATTATTTTTGGTCGTTCCCCTTGTTATTTTAAAAATCAATTTTATAAATTACCAAGCAACATGCAAATCATTTTAAACCATTGATACTGTAAAATTGAGAGTAGGCTGTGATGTTTGACTGGTAAATGCGACAAAGATCTCAAGAACTAAATCTATTTTTGAATTAGTCGTAGATACAGTATACCAGATCAACCTATTTGAACGACTGAACAGTCGCGTGTTTAAACATCATCAGCAGAAAATATTAAAATCAAATTTTAACTTTCCTTTTAACAGCTGCCTTAATAAATCAATTTCCCCTGTGGTATGTACTCCAGGAACATATTCCAATACTGGTGAAACTAAATGTAACAACTGTACTAAGGGATATAAATGTCCATTCAATAAAATGCTGTCAGCAATACAATGTCTAAATGGAACATATTCTAATGAAACAAAGTCAACTGAATGTAAAACATGTCCAGCTGGATTTTCTTGTCGAAATGTTGATGAAACTCCAGTGGAATGTAAGAATGGATTTTATAGTCTGGGAGCAACAACACAATGTTTAATATGTCCTCATGGACACAGGTAAACTTACAAAAATCTTTAAAATTAAACACATTAATGCATGTTAAAACTGTAAAATGTTAAATAATTTCTTGTTGATTTAATGTCTATATTGATCTAATTTCGCCATTAAATGATCTAAAATTGTCTTGATTAAAATTCAAAGTTTAACATTATTTTTGGTCGTTCCCCTTGTTATTTTAAAAATCAATTTTATAAATTACCAAGCAACATGCAAACCATTTTAAACCATTGATACTGTAAAATTGAGAATAGGCTGTGACGTTTGACTGGTAAATGCGACAAAGATCTCAAGAACTAAATCTATTTTTGAATTAGTCGTAGATACAGTATACCAGATCAACCTATTTGAACGACTGAACAGTCGCGTGTTTAAACATCATCAGCAGAAAATATTAAAATCAAATTTTAACTTTCCTTTTAACAGCTGCCTTAATAAATCAATTTCCCCTGTGGCATGTACTCCAGGAACATATTCCAATACTGGTGAAACTAAATGTAACAACTGTACTAAGGGATATAAATGTCCATTCAATAAAATGCTGTCAGCAATACAATGTCTAAATGGAACATATTCTAATGAAACAAAGTCAACTGAATGTAAAACATGTCCAGCTGGATTTTCTTGTCCAAATGTTGATGAAACTCCAGTGGAATGTAAGAATGGATATTATAGTCTGGGAGCAACAACACAATGTTTAATATGTCCTCATGGACACAGGTAAACTTACAAAAATCTTTAAAATTAAACACATTAATGCATGTTAAAACTGTAAAATGTTAAATAATTTCTTGTTGATTTAATGTCTATATTGATCTAATTTCGCCATTAAATGATCTAAAATTGTCTTGATTAAAATTCAAAGTTTAACATTATTTTTGGTCGTTCCCCTTGTTATTTTAAAAATCAATTTTATAAATTACCAAGCAGCATGCAAACCATTTTAAACCATTGATACTGTAAAATTGAGAATAGGCTGTGACGTTTGACTGGTAAATGCGACAAAGATCTCAAGAACTAAATCTATTTTTGAATTAGTCGTAGATACAGTATACCAGATCAACCTATTTGAACGACTGAACAGTCGCGTGTTTAAACATCATCAGCAGAAAATATTAAAATCAAATTTTAACTTTCCTTTTAACAGCTGCCTTAATAAATCAATTTCCCCTGTGCCATGTACTCCAGGAACATATTCCAATACTGGTGAAACTAAATGTAACAACTGTACTAAGGGATATAAATGTCCGTTCAATAAAATGCTGTCAGCAATACAATGTCTAAATGGAACATATTCTAATGAAACAAAGTCAACTGAATGTAAAACATGTCCAGCTGGATTTTCTTGTCCAAATGGTGATGACACTCCAGTGAAATGTAAGAATGGATATTATAGTCTGGGAGCGACAACACAATGTCTAATATGTCCTCATGGACACAGGTAAACTTACAAAAATCTTTAAAGTTAAACACATTTTATAAAATGGTAAATAATTTCTAAATAATTTTTACCAAAATATTTTCAAATTTTCAATTAAAAAAGTTAAAAATTAACGTTTAACTTTATAATGGTGATAATTTGACTTTTTATTGCCGTAATGTCGAGAATAGGCTGTGATATTGGACTCACAAATACGGCAAAGATCTTAACAGTGAAATCTAATTCTTAAATCATTCAGCATAAATATTAAAATAAAACCATACAGACGTAATTAAGGAATATTTGTTCTGTACATGAAATGATATTTACTGTGGTCGAAATAACTTATATGGTTGTACAGGTACAACACATTCTATATACACCAAATTTTATAAAATAATTCTAAATTGTAATTTTCCTTTTAACAGCTGCCTTAATAAATCAATTTCCCCTGTGGCATGTACTCCAGGAACATATTCCAATACTGGTGAAACTAAATGTAATAACTGTACTAAGGGATATAAATGTCCATTCAATAAAATGCAATCAGCATTACAATGTCTAAATGGAACATATTCTAATGAAACAAAGTCAACTGAATGTAAAACATGTCCAGCTGGATTTTCTTGTCCAAATACTGATGAAACTCCAGTGGAATGTAAGAATGGATACTATAGTCTGGGAGCAACATCACAATGTTTGATTTGTCCTCATGGACACAGGTAAAGAATTAATTCTAAACATTAAAAGTGTTAAATGTAACTTTTAAAAATCTTGATTAAATTGACAAGCAGCGTTATAGTTTAAAATTCCTCATGCATAAATTCTAAACCTTCGCTACTATTTAAGCAATTAAATTTAAGTGCATGGTTAAGAAAATTTGGATATTTGTTTCGAATTTCGTTTGTAATTATTTTATAAAACAAATAAAAGACTGGTTGTTTGGAAGGCTTAAGCTAACTTCGACCAAGCTGGATTGGTGGAACTCTTGAGCTGGTTAAAACCTTAATTAAACCTTTTTTCTCCTGCATGTTTACACCATTTTCTTTACTTTTTTTTCGACTTGCATTTTGAAAACGTTGCAAGTTTGTCTTATATCTGGGTGGAACCTTCAGGATGTGTAGGTTGTGGAGAGTGATTTGTTAAATTTGATTATTAAGAAACGAATATTAATACTGTATGTGGTATTAAGAAATTATGTGATATTGGGAAACGAATTCCAAAAATTCAAGACATTTTAAGTTTGATTGCCCACAACTTAATTCAGTTTGACATCCAAAAAGTCGTGTTCGTTATACGTGTTATGCTAATGAGCACATCCGAACACAACCTTTTTGAATATCAAAATTAAGTTGTGAGCATGCAATCATGCAGTCTTAAATGTCTTCAATTTTGGTGCAAAATTAATGTTGTTTCTGAAATGAACATGCTTTCACGATAGAGTCAAATATAGTGTATAGTAGTATAGAGTCGGTGTTTTGTGTCTGAACTGACAAAAAAATAGTAAAAACACTTCTGGTGGAGAGTAAAATGTAAAACACCTCTACTTACTTCTTGAGAAGGGACCTAATCTCTCAAAATGTTGAAGTGTTTTAATCTTTTTCAGGTATATCGTAGTTCGGACGCAAATTATATTGTATAATGTCCGTAATGCCATATAGGCAGACGTGAACTTCCGTTCGAGAAACTAAGGTTCGTCGCTTTTTCGGATACTGAAATTACTTAAGAAAACTGTATGAACGTTTTTTAGTTGCTCCAACAAATCAGCTCCACCCAGCCCATGTCAACCTGGTGAATTTTCAGCATCTGGTACCAGTCAATGTGAAAACTGTAGTAAAGGATTTATGTGTCCAGACGCTAAAATGCATTCTCCACTACCTTGTGTAAATGGAACATTTGCAAATGAAACAAAATCCATCATATGTGAAATCTGTCCGGCTGGATATACATGCCTTGATCCCAGGGAAACTCCAAACAAATGTGGTGAAGGATATTATAGTTCTGGTGGAATAACACGATGTGTCATATGTCCTGCTGGACACAGGTAAAAATTACAGCATAATAACTAATATGCACAGGAGTTTATTATAGAAATTTGAAATACTGTAGTGAGTGCATGTATTTAATTTTTTTATTTCTGCTTCTCCAATCCATGTTTGAGATATCGTCAAATTAATAACTCGTTAAACTTAACCCTTAAAGTAGCAATGCGCCCTGAGGCTCCCTACTTTATTATTTTACTCTGTCTAACACCACATAATTTTACTCGTCCAGGAGAGAGTGCTGCCAATCAATGGGTTAATACAAGTTTGCAACTGCAAGAAGCGATTGAAGTTCTTTTTGGCATCGTATTTCGATAAAATTGCACTACTCTTTAGCCAATCAGAATTGAGTAATATTTCATGTGTATTATTAGCTTTTTTAAAAATCCACGAACTCACGAAATTATCATCGCGGTTTGTCAGAGGTTAACACTGGTGAGAAATAAGTAAAAAAAACCCCAACGATTCAACCGTTATTGAACCGTATATGTTGCATATTAAGTGAAGTGAAGTAATCTTTTTTCAAACTGATTTAATCTTCAATTTCAGGTGTGTTGATGCATCTGCTCCAGAAAAATGTCAGAATGGTAGCTATGCTAAAGCAGGCTCAGCGTCTTGTAAAGATTGTCCTCTTGGTTTTCAATGTCCAGATGACGGAATGGAATCTCCTCTTGCTTGTGGTAACGGTACTTATGCAAACACAACTGGTTTATCAGGTTGTCAAACCTGTCCAGCAGGTTATCGTTGTGGTGATCCACGTTTGACACCCACACCATGTGACGATGGTTTCTACAGTGGTGCTGGTGCTGTGTACTGTTTGGAGTGCCCTGCTGGGTACAGGTATGTCAGTTATTATGTCAGGTGTATTTCATAGTGATTGCTAAATGATGCGATTTGAGGCCGTCAGGTAATTTCTCGTCGACCTGAAAAATACAAGAATAGGATTCAGATGTTTCAACCGTATGCTCTTCGAAAGAGAAGTAGTAGAAAATGTAGTAGGTTGTGCAAATTATCCCAACATACAGATTGAAATATACATCACCAAAATTCAGCAAAACCTCTATTTCAAACTTGGCACCTCCAATCCTGGCCTTAAACCCTGATCAAACGAGGTCATGCCCCGCGATCAAACGAGAACGATGAAAGTTGATGAAAGTTGCTGGACATTTTCGATCAAACGAGCATAAATTCTCATTAACTCTCATCAAAATTTGAACCAGCTCAAAGTTGACGAGAGTGCATGGAAGTGGATGAGAATTAGCGGTCAAACTCTCATCAACTTTTGTCAACTCTCGTTTGATCGAGGCTTTATGAATGACTCTCCTTCACCTTGGTCATCATCATTAAATCCCACACATTCTTCGCCCAAGATTTCTCTGTTAAGTATTAACTTTTGTGGTAAAGGACATTCGTCGTCCTATTTTCTTGTATATATGTTTCAGAACATATCTAATGGCTTTACCTAAAGTTCTGTTTACACGGAGTCAGGGTAGCCCTACTACATGAAAGTAAGAAAGTCCCCTCCAGGTCGTAATTAGTTGGAATTGATGGCTAATTGTATAAACACGTACTTATACAAATAGTTTATTTTTCCAGTTGTATACAAAAAGATAATCCTGTTGATTGTGGTCAAGGACGCTACTCGAAATCTGGTTATATGACGTGCGAACCATGTCCTGTTGGTAGTTATTGTCCGCTGTTAAGAACAGAATCTCCCTGGCCTTGCTCTAAAGGATTTTACAGCATTAACAATGGCTCGTCCAAATGTATTGAGTGCGAACGAGGTAAGATTATAGAATCAGAATGTACTGTAGCTCAAAGATATTTCCTGCCATTTTGTTTTCGGTATACTTTATTTTTGCAAAAAATATCTTTCGATGGATTTTTTTTAAAGGGAAATGGCAATATAAATTTTTCTTTTCTCATCTGAAAGAACTTTTGAAACTATATATTAACTTCTTTTACCGATTTTTCATATCTTGCTTAGTTCTTGAAATATTTTCACTTGAAGTAATTTTTGATCTCATTAACGGTAGTTTTAGTGACGACACAACAGGGATTAACCATATAAAAGTATTCGTTGCTGACCAAATATTGATTGGTAGATGTTTTAAAGGTTTTGAGTGATCTTGATATTTCGATTGCCATTTCCCTTTATTAAACAATAATTGTTGTATTAATCCTTTCAGGTAACAGATGCCCTAATCCGTCTGCGTCACCGATCCCATGTAACGCTGGTTATTACAGTGATGCAAGAGGATCTATTGGGTGTCAAAATGTAAGTACGCGTATACAATACAATAATATAAAATGATAATATACGAAACACGCACGTTATTTGTTGTACTACAATATAAAGTGGTAGACATTTCATGCTAGAAACAATGCATGATTACGACAATTGTCTATCTACGGTCGCGTGGTACTATCAAATAACAACTTCCAAATTGATATGGCTTAGATTCCTTCGAAGGCACTTATTAATGTCGAATTCTCTTTCAAATTCCCTCTAAGGAATTTTGCTCTATAATTAATTACCGGGTTTTACCGCTATGTTACTGGTATACCGATAATATCAAGCTTTTCAGGTAGTTGTATCCCTACCAACGAAAGCTTGTTATTATTGGCACTACCTACACTGGTACAGACAATTTAAGATTGTACTGCATGATAATATGGCTACCGGTATAATTTTTCTGTTCTACCGATACCAGAAGTCAGAAACATCCCCTTGCGTTTATGTGCTCTATATGTGTTTGCGGTGAACCGCAGAAAACTATAACCACTCACACCTTTCGTTTTTAGGATTTTCAATTATTTTGTGCCATATTTAGCTCTAACGTACTCGTTATACATTTTCTTATGAGATACATCAGCAACTTTGTATCTTGAAGGTGATTCCTTTGAAGTGGTTCTTTCTTGATGTATGACAGAAATTCTACACTTGAATTTTTTAGTGTCCACCAGGATTTTACAACACCAAACAAGGCCAGATCAAGTGTGAAAGTTGTCCCGCTGGTTCACGTTGTCCAAATAAAACTCAGGGACCCATCCCTTGTTCATTCGGACAGGTAAATTATTTCAAACGTGTAAATCTTCTTCCTAATTTTCGATAAAGACACTGCCATATTCTTTTATCAAAATGATTCAATCAGAGCTAAGAACAATAACAGAAACGAATGGGACCTAATTTATACCTGTAGTTTCCTATATATTGACTTGGTGAGTAAAAAAGAACATGCAGTTTGAAGGTTCAACGTTTCTTTTTCGGCCACATTATGTGCGGTGGTGGATACTAGGGGACACCTCCCCCCCCCCTCACCATAATTTTTGAAAGCCTTTGAAGGGTCGCTGAACAATTACATAACAAAGATGTTGTAACAAAGATGTTATACAATCATTTTACAACCATGAAAACATTTGCCTAGAATTTAGTGCAAGAACGTTTTAAAAAAAGCAATTTGTATCAACAAAATGGTGGCAATTATGGCAACCCAAATTCGCCCCTCTCCCCCAATATTTCGAAAATTATATTTTACAGATTACTTGTCTCATATTTTCTATACCAGTCAGTTGACTTTACATCCATATCATTTTATATACAATATAGTATTGATCAAGAACGTTGTGATAACACTATATGTCTTCTATACGTGGTTGTGTATAATGCCATATATGTTTCTGTGTTTAGTATTCTCCTGAAGCCTCTCAAGAATGTTTTGCCTGTCCAGTTGGTTTTGCTTGTACTTCCCCTGACGTTCCACCAAAACGTTGCCAGGTATATTTCAGAAAGAACTTATAATACTTTATTTGAGAACTCTTTGCTATCGAGGAAATCACGCGGACACCATTTGTGTCTATATTTCCTTGCGAGCACACCTGCTATTCTGGTTGACCATTATGAATTTCATACAAAATTACGATGCTATGAATTGTCATTTACTCAAATCTGTATTTTCAATTTATTGTTTAATCGTTGAGTAGGTTCATTCTCCATTTGGTCGTACGACCATGTCAAAGTAGCAGTTACAGTATAATTTAGTATCGATATGCAACACATAAAAGACAAGACTGTATAGGACCTGGTCCACATTATTTTGCATCATTGACCATTTTTGCTGGGACTGAATGGGAACCAGGCTTTATGCGTATGTGTTTTGGCAGATGCATTCTCACATGTATTTTCTTTATTTAGGCTGGTAAATTCAGTAATGGAACGGCGTGCGTTAGCTGTTTCACAGGATATTATTGTCCAAGCATGACTATTCAACCTCTTCCCTGTGTTAATGGTACATATTCAGATAAAAGAGGGGCTGTTGCTTGTGACATATGCCCGGCTGGTTATTCATGTTTTAATGTTTCTGATCCTCCAAAAGAATGTAATAAAGGAGAGTATAGTATTGCTGGAGATGCCGCATGTAAGGTACTGTACAGTATTGCAGCTAATTATCAAATATTGCTAGACACAAGTATAAACACAAGCTCTAGACTACCCAGGACTGTTCAAACTGCTATTTTCCTCATAATCATCTAATGTCTTATTAGTAGTACTCTGTAGTACATAGATAGATCATTTGTCAACATGAACCAGACACAAACCATGCATGCACGAACCATGCACACTCGCCATTTCATTTGAGTGGATTAGCTGCGCAGATATAGTTGTTCTTAACAGGTGGTTCGTTTTGGTCCGTACTGTAATGTATATATGTTCGCCATATTTATACAAAGACAAATTATGAGACGAACGTATCTTTTTTGGCCACGTTCGGTCGTGCATGCATGCATGAATGGCTTGTGTCTGGTTCATATTGACGAATGATCTATCTACTGTAAGTACTGCTAGTCCATACTATATGGGACAAAATGTTCGTGATTGTCTCATCGTGATTGTCTCATCGTCTATTGAAAGCAATACGATATTGGTGGATGACATCATCCTGTAACGTTGAACTTCTTAATATATAATGATGCCCTATACCTATAGCCTACTTAATTTGAAAAGAAACATTGGATCAGTAGATATTAACGACATTTAGGGCGTACAATATTGTAGTCCGTGACAGTTTAATCAAGATACTGTATATATACAGTTGCAGCGTGAAGTGTACTACATCAAAATACACATGATTGTACAAAATTTGTAAAACCAAAAAAGCATTTATATTGTTCAGAGATGTTTATGTGGTGAATGTACCTTCAATATAGCAGTAATTTGGTGTATTTACTTTTGTATATTTATATTTTTATAGGACTGTACACGTGGTTATTACAGCATGGCACGTGCGAGTGTTTGTCTGCCTTGTCCTGCAGGACAGAAATGTCGTGAAGGTTCCAAGATGATCTCACCTGAAGATTGCTTGGCTGGTACTTACAGCAGAGAAGGAGAGGACTTTTGTCAAGCATGTCTCATTGGTAAATATTAAGCTTGTTTTTAATTTCAACCGTGTCCTACCAAATCGTAGCATGCGTTTTCTGAGCATTACAGTGGAACTAATGGTACTGGCACAAAAGATCTAGAAAATTCTACACGGTACGTTATGCGATACGTTTGAAGAGGCAAGCATATAATAGGTTTTTAGTCTTGAGTTTACTTCGTGTTCCTTCTGTATATTGGAGAAAAGTACTTTATTTACAATGGGCTTTTGTCGTAACTACTTTTTGAGATGGTGGGATGACATATAGTAACTCCAAAGGGAAATTAAACACGAAGGTTTTTACGTTGTACACACTGAACTGAATCACCTTATCAGCAAATTTGTACTTCTGACACGATTACTAAAATTTAGTTAAGAATTTATTTTATTTTATAAGGATAGCATTAGACATTAACAGCAGCGTGTATTGGCTTGATTAGTTCGCATAATAATGACAATAAAACAGCATAGAAATTCAAATTAAAACACATCGATCAACAGATTCATCTTCCATATATACAGTATTTTGCATAACAAACTATGTATAAAATCATGCTCATTGTTATGAAGACCTGTGACGATCTATCACATTTCCATCAATGTTCTTATCTATATTTCTCATACCTCGTAGGAACCTGGAGTGGCAATGCATCATCTACATGTCTTCCATGCTCTATTGGATTTACTTGTGATGATCCTTCTGATCCAACTCCCTGCATATCTGGAACATACTGGAGCAATGTCGGAACTGTAAGTGCATGAACATCTTTCGCAATATTCTTTGTACAAAGTTGCTGACACAAACATAAAACATCCAGGCCTAAGTTCTATTACCCTCTCGACAGCACGTTCAACGTTATGCCCAAATGATATAAATCCTACTAGGGTAATTTATCCCTGCAGACCATTAGGAAATCGACTGCCTCTATGTGACTCGTAGTAGATGGCAAGGGTCGATTGTACGAAGGCTATCCGCCGGATAGTGTTTTGTCAAGCTTTCTAAACTTGTTGAAGGGCTTTTGTAGATGAAAGTGTAAATTGTATACATTTTTAGATCTAACCAGGAGCAACTGCGAAAAATGCAACTATAGCAGTATATCCCCTGCGGCTCTCGATGCCCAGAGAGGGCCTTACACTCGAAATTTAAACTTGAAATTTCCATGTCGTTTGTCTGTGGGCATAAGAGATTGGGAATGACATGGTAGTTTTCCTATAGCGAGTGTGCCTTGTTCATCACAACTTGCAAAAATTACTAGAACCTAGTAATGACGCTACCATTTGCTCTAAACGACGCCATATTTGGTCGATTTAATCTTGTGAATATAATTATTTTATAAAAGAAATAGGAAGTATTTTTTTCATATTTCCATGCATCGAGTAATAAAAACACTTGTGGAAGTTTGAAAGAACTGAAAATTGCATGACAACAGTTGCCCTTTGTTTTTCCATTGACTGTATCAAACGTTCTCGTTTGAGAGGGGAGAGTTCTAAGCGTAATGTTTCGTATTTCTTAAGTATCTGCTATAGTATATACAGGGTGTCTAAAAAAAAGCGCTATGGAAATTCAACAGGCTGTCGTGCATCATAAACGTGGCTAAACAATTAAATTTTTACATAAGACGAAAGAACAGTTATTTAGCTTTTCAATGATACTCTTTTTAAATCGTAACGATGAGAAATGGCCACATACTCGTGAAATAAAAATTGCCGGTCGAAATCACATTCTTCCACCGTTGGGAATTGCATGGAAAACGAACCATAGACAATTCCCAAGAGGGAATTAAAATTGAATGTTAAATACTTAAATTATCTAAAATGAGCTCAACTCGTCGATCTTCGTCTTAGTGAGACAATAACTCAATAAGAACGTCCATTAAACATGGTTCAATTAACCCCTGAACAGAGAACATTTCGTAATCAAAACGTTTTCCGAAACAAATAGCTTGCAGCAGGCTCGCGTTGCTTTTGGATTGACTAACTTTGCATAATTAATGTATTTTCAATTCCCAACGGTGGAAGAATGTGATTTCGACCGGCAATTTTTATTTGACGAATATGTGGCCATTTCTCATCGTTAAGATTTAACTAAAACGGTATCATATAGAAGCTAAATAACAGCTCTTTCGTCCTATGTAAAAATTGAATTGTTTAGCTAAGTTTATGATGCACGACAGCCTGTTGAATTTCCATAGCGTTTTTTTTTAGACACCCTGTATAGGTATCTCTGATGTTATATTTTCAAAGAAAACGTTACGAATTTCAGCTAGCTAGTGTCATAATTATATCGATATGTCATAATTATAAAATAAATTTGAGTGAATAATTTACCATAATTTTTATACTGTTTTTTTTTGTTTAGATTCCTAAGTGTATATCATGTCCAGCTGGATATGAGTGTATCAATGTCACCCAACTACCCGTACCATGTGAACCTGGCTCATATTCCCTGGAGGGGAATTCATCTTGTGTCTTATGTTCTCCCGGTGAAGCATGTCCTGATCCTGCTACACTACCAATTCATTGTCCAGTTGGTACTTACAGCACATCTGTAAGTTACTTTTTACCTGCTGAGATTGCATGTTAGAAGTTACACTAATTTATGGTTAGATGGCACTTTGTACTGTAGTTTTTAAAATATGCATCGTGTTGTTCAAAAGAGTTCAACTTGACCAGGTAATATAACCGTAGTAGTATAACAACGTGCAGTCAGATAGCATTTTAACTTGAAAATCCGTTTATTTGATATAAATTATCAATTTTCAGGGTTCCACATCATGTTCAGAGTGTCCTGCAGGTTACAGCTGCCCTAAACCAAGTACTGGCATCACACCATGTCCAGGCGGATCATATTCTTTGATTGGTGATGCTAACTGCACACTTTGCCCTGCTGGTTATGCCTGTCCAACCACTACAGAAACACCATTCAGGTGTCAGCTAGGACAAACAACCAATGGAAACAAAGGATCCACAAATTGTACAAAATGTCCTGCTGGATTTCAGTGCCCCCAACCTGAGTAAGTATGCTTGATAAATATTTTGTTTACAAAATGCTCCAACTAAAACATATATACTGAACATATACTATATACTACTTTGTAATAAACATATACTACTTTGTCTCCTATACAATATACAGCTAAACCATAGATAAACAGAGAAAATAGATGAAAATATGTCATACTAATAATTCAATTCATAAAACAATTCCTCTGTTTGGAAATTTACACTAAGCCTTGCAATTTATAATTTTTCCACCCACCATAGCAAACACTATTGTTTTAGTAGATAGACTGTTTAACGACGTTTAAGCGTGTTGAAGATTAATGTTTGGCTAACACAATTCCTATATTTTGCAGCATTAATGCTGCCTGCGCCTATAGAAATACACTATTCTATATTTGCCACTATCCCTCCCTCCCCCACCCTAAACATGTTGGGTGGCTGGCAAGGAACATTTTGCGCAGGTATTTCCACACACAACATTGAACGGAGGGTGCCGGGGGTCGATTATGTTGTAAATGTACGCTCTTTTGCTATTTTGTCCAAAGTGTTTTGTCACTGATTGTAGTTCAATTATGGCCTTACTCGCCTTGTTGAAAAGTATTATTTACTTCTGCTTAAATTTGTTAAATACCTTTATTTGTTAAATACCATGCAGTGTTTTTATTTCACTAAATCTACTCTTTCGCTTGTTGCTGTCTACTTTCCCGTGCGGTTTCCAACAAAAAAGTGGCGGACAAAGTCTGATAAGTTGCATGGCGAGAGAATGGCTAATAAATTCACATTTATTATGGCGATAGTTGCAAGTTTTCCCAGCATTAAATCGATATAGTTGCTGCTGTTACTAACTGAATCAATCTTTGTTGAGTATAACTACAAAGAATCATCCAGTCTTAAATCATTTCACTCTGATTTAATTTATTTCTTCCGTGTAGTACCATAAGATAGTAAACACTGGCAGCGAGGAAAATGGCAGTATGTCTTGTGAACCCGAGACTGCCAGTGTTTCCCGAGGTGAACCGAGGAAGACATTGACATTCGCAGGTCCACAAAATATACTGTTTCCGAAAGTCCCATTCACTAAATGTTTTATTATATATCAAATGTAAAAGAAAACCAGTGACATGAATATAACTGGAACGTTACCTCCAACCGGAAATTTGATGCCAAACTTGAAGGCCAGTCCCAGTGTTTCACGCATGTGAAGAGCGCTCAATCAGTCAATCATGCTATAAACAAGCGTGTCTTGACCCCCCTCCCCCCATTTGGCTTCAAGAGAAAGATTGGCAGTTTATCTTAAGGTAGCGTTCCAGTTTTATTCATTTCAATGAAGAAAACAAAGAAACGGGAAAGCTCCATAATTTTTGCGCCTAACTGACCAATATACCCTTAAGGTACATCATCTTGGCCATAGAACCTCGTTTTCGTGTGTGTGAGATTAATTAATGCCCAACGCCTCAATCACGAAAACGAGGCTCTGTAGTCAAGATGACGTACTGTACACTCTGGAAAGGTGTATTATTTATACACCAGTGAAATGTATTGTCCACCGCCCAGAGCTGGTGCCAGGAGAACTGTCGTATTTCATGACTTTCCATGATACGCTCTCGTCCAATGAGATGCAAGAATACATGAACTTTGACACCAGGTGTATAATAAATTGTGTTATCTTTAAGTATTACAAAGTTTTTTTGCTATTATGGATATTTTTGTCATCTATTTCTCATTGTTTCTTGGTAGAGATACAATGCAAGAGTGCAGTACGGGTTACTACAGTCTTGGCTTTTCTGTGACATGTTTTATCTGCCCTGCAGGAAGCAAGTGTCCTGCTAAAAATGTAAGTGTTGTTGTTTTAAATGCATGACTTGTCTTTCCGCCTAAGATAAGGTTTGTTGTGTTGTTCATTAGGGCCCGTCCAACTCACTGCATCATGTTGGTTCAACATTATCCTACAATGTTGGATACCGCATTGTTAGGTCTGCTTGCACCTCACGTTTGATAATGTTGGACCAGGTTTGAATCAGGTTCAGCGGAGGCCAGTGAGGCAGCACATCGTTCTTGACACTGCTAACGTTTCTCCCGAGTTCACTCGGCCCAATCTTTCGTGCGATCTATATACTACATAGCTAAGATAAGCTAAGATACAGTATCTTAATATATACGACGTAGACGTCAGCTATAGTAGGACGTCTTGGCTGAGCACTGGGACTAGAACGTCCCCCAAATAAACTGATAGCTTAAGATTTGAATTGTCGTGTAATACATTTTGTTGAGTGTGGTAACAATATTGAACTTATTTTCGTTAGCAACAACCAGAAAACTGCTCTCCTGGAGAATACAGTTTAAGTGGCTGGGAAAACTGCACATCTTGTCCACCTGGTGAAGCTTGCCCTTCTCTAACAACGAATTCTGTTAACTTCATGTGTCGTAAAGGTGAGTGTATTGTTCAAACAAAGGGATATGGTATGGTATCGTGTATGAAATCCCCTGGGGGCTTTAGGCCCCGTTTACATGAGACCTGAACGAAGTCAAACCGGGACCATTTCGTTTCGGTCATAGTATTATTTATAATAGATGTTTACATGAGACCGGGACAAAAATAACTCAGATCGGTCTCAAGTCATTCCGCCTACTGGACCGAACCAACTGACTTCAGACCGGCAAGAATTCAGACCGGGATGAATGTAAACACAAATACATTTCGTCCCCGGTCTCGGCTGTAACCTTGAAATTGGAACAACATATGCTAATTAAATCTAAAAAAGAAAATTGCCTGGCAAGGGGAATAAATTGAAAATTTTGTGATTTTCGTACCAGTCTCGTGTAAACGTGTTAACAATTTCAATTTTCATTCCGGTTTGACTTCGTCCCGGTCTCATGTAAACGGGGCCTTAGTTTCATTTTTGACTTGGGGTATTGAAAAGGGCTGAATACTTAGTACACATGTGCTTCTGTATTGTGAATGGGACGAGGGGGTTCAATAAATTGCTTCGTGGGCTTATTACAGAGAGGGCTGCTTGGGGGGGGGGAGAAATTGTTTTTTGGGGAGGCTTAACAGATTATTTTGCTTACTATAATTGTACGTTTGTGTGAAAAATACAACAATTTAATTTTAGGTATATTCACCATGGGCGGATACTGGTCACGCGGTCGTGGCAGCCAATGACTTTGCTGCCGTTCTCATTTAAGAATAATAAAGATAAAGTCCTAGTAGCTCGAATTTTAAAACTTCACGAGCGTTAGCACAAACAAATGTTGATTGTGAGATAACATACAGCAGTATTCATACGCCATATACAGCATAGTACAGTATTAGAACTAACTCTCTGTTCCACGTACCAGCTTATGGGGAATCATTCGATAAATATACTGATCTTGTCTGACAGTTCGTTTTAGTGATAACTTTTCTATAATATTTGTGTTTATCAGGGACGTACTCAACAGGAGGTGCCCAATATTGTACAGCATGTCCAGCTGGTAAATACTGTCCATCTACTACTAATTCTACTGAGATACCTTGTTCTCCTGGATCTTTTTCATATGGCGGAGTTGCTGTGTGTCTTACATGTCCTAGTGGATGGAAATGTCCGAATACTGATGGGTCTGGTAATGCAAGGTGCCTGCCTGTAAGTAATGGTCTACCAAATACTGTATGTAAAGTATTTTTATGCATTCTCAACAGTGTTACTTTCTGCATGAGAATAACAATTTAGCTTTCTGCTCTTACCCCTAAAACTCCTAACAGCTTAATTGATCTTTGCGTTTAGAACGCGTGCCAATTGCTTCTAGAACGTGTTCCAACTCTTCTATGTTGTTTTTCCGCGTTTTCTGTTATGTTATTTCGAGACAGTACTGTACCTGCAATATGTAATGATATTGTTTAGGATACATATTTACTGAGTAATCAGACTAGATGTACAGATTGTCGATCTTAATGTAATGATATAGGGTACTTATTCACTGGGTGGTAATCAGACTAGATGTACAGATTGTCCATCTTAATGTAATATATTTCTTATGATACTTATTCACTGGGTAATCAGACTAGATGTACAGATTGTCTATCTTAATGTAATGATATTGTTTAGGGTACTTATTCATTGGGTAATCAGACCAGATGTACAGATTGTCCATCTTAATGTAATATATTGCTTATGATACTTATTCAGTGGGTAATCAGGCTAGATGTATACAGATTGTCTATTTTAATGTAATATATTGCTTTTAAAATACTTATTCACTGGCTAATCAGACTAGAAGTACAGATTGTCCATCTTAATGTAATGATATTGTTTAGGATACTTATTCAGTAGGTAATCGGACCAGATATACAGATTGTCCATCTTAATGAAATGATATTGTTTAGGATACTTATTCAGTAGGTAATCGGACCAGATATACAGATTGTCCATCTTAATGTAATGATGTTGTTTAGGGTACTTATTCATTGGGTAATCAGACTAAATGTACAGATTGTCCGCCGGGGTATGCTTGTCCATCCATTTACACGGACGATAAGAAAAGTTGTGAAGCTGGAACATATTCTGCTGGGAAACAAACGGTGAGAGGCCGAATATTAATCGTAATATTTATCTTTTATTTACTTGGTTTGCCACAACGGTTGGAAAAAGCTCAGTAATCTATAGACAGTTATAGTGTACAGTATATCAACAATAGTAAGTATAACAACTAATAAACGAAATATGTGCGCGGATTGCTATTAACACATATCTGACATTAGTAAATTTCTTATACAATCCTCGACATCATGTTCATTAGTACCGTCCAGTTTGCTTCTTATTTCGTAAATTTGAGAGAAATGATAAAAGTATTGTGGAACGAATTTACTAAATATAAGAGAGAAGTATAACTCTAACTCTTTCCTCATATAGCTATGCACAGTTTGTCAACCAGGTTTCAAGTGTCCATACCCAGATAGAAATACAATGACTGAATGCAAAGATGGTAGTTATAGTATTGGAGGTAAACCAAACTGTACAGAGTGCCCTGCTGGCTTTGCTTGCCCATCAAAAACAGATGATCTTCAAATACCATGTTATCCAGGAAGTTACACTTTAGATAAAGCTAGGGTAAGTAAATTATATACGTCTCAGTACCAGTAGCGTAACCTGACGTTTTCCGGCACGAGGGCGTTGTTATCAATACGTAGCAAAAACGCGGTATTTAGTCGTTAAGTTAATTAATATAGTATTCTTTGTTTGCAATGACGTAATTTTGGGATTTCAGTTGAAGGGCAGGTATAACAAAAACGGCTATTTTAATGTATTGATCGAGTTTAATACTCAAAAGATGAATTACCGTTCAGTTTTTCTTGCTACAACCATTCTGATAGGAGAAAAATCGTCCACAAGTTGTTTGATTGCCCGTCATTTGGATGAAAATCACGTGAGCGAATCAAAGAAATCGGGCATTTCAACCTCGTTCCCAGGCTCGTACCTCTTCTGGAGGAGAGACCCTGGTAGGAGCTGGTCACGTGATCTGCTAAAATCTAGCAGATTTCTAATTAACTATCTTGGATTTCTTTAAAATCAAATCAAACTTGCAAAACAAAATGCAAGTTATAAAAATATCAAATATTTATCAACATCATCATCATTTGTTGTAAAGAAGCTGAGCATTCAGATATCCGATGGTAAGGATGGTTCTGGAGTAGGGCTATTTGTTCAGTTACCTGGAATAATATAGAGTGCATTGTATATATGCCTATACAATGCATTCTAAAAACACCCTCATTAAAATTTTCCTGGTTAATCTAGAAATAACCCTATTTGGGTTAACTTAATATTCCTAGTTAATTTTCCTGGTTATTTTATCTCAGTTCTTACCATAGTCTGGTTAATATAACCAGGAATTTGGAAATATTTGACCAGGACGTCCTGGTTAAATTAACCAGACTATGTTAGGTGGACAAACAACCAGGGCCCAAATAGAGTTATCTCTAGGCTAACCAGGGAAATTTTAACCAGGTTGTTTTAAGAGTGTGTATTATTGTTAATAGTACAGGTGTGCGTCTTGTAAAGTTTAATTACCAATTACCGTACTCTCAATAATACTTGTATATTTTATTTAGACTTGTTCACTTTGTCCACCTGGTCAGTTTTGTCCTAATGTTTCATCTATTCCGATTGATTGTGCTGATGGATCTTACTCCCTCGGTTCAGTGACAGCATGTATTTCATGTCCTGCTGGATTTTATTGTGATGTGAAGTATTCAGCACCTAGACCATGTCAACCTGGGAAATATAGCAATAAATCTGCAACTGAATGCTCAGATTGTAGTCCGGGTTATGTTTGCGCGGAGGGTAGCAGTTCTGCTAAACCAGGTATTTAGTCATACACTTCGATTTAATCGCTAGCGACTAAATGGTTGTGACTCAAATCGTATTTTAGGATAACGTATATTTTAGCAGTAATTAAAATAATTATATCATTTTAAATTTTATGTTAATTATTTTCATGTATGTCCTGTACATGTAGTAAAAAGTCAATGGTAACGTTATTTTGCTATTTTAGGTTCAGGTATGTGTCCAAGTGGTTATTATTGTCCTGATGGTTTAAAGAAAGAGCCATGTCCAGCTGGAACATATGGAAATACAAGTGTGGCTAAATCTGAACAAGAAGGTTGTCAATCATGTCCTCCAGGATTCTTTTGTCCTCAAGGAACTTCTGGATATCCAACTGCATCGTAAGTGCAAGTTCACGTTGATTATGTTTGGTTGTGCATTGTGATCCATGACATCAAAGTAATCCATTAAGATAACGTTTTTGATTTATTGTCGCTAATTTATAATCTGTTTGTAACCCTGGCATGATCGCTAAACGAGATAGCCTTGTATTCTATCTTGTATTTATATGGGAACATTTTATCCCTATGACTACAATCTCTGCCAAAAACTATGGGGACAGTAGTGTGTGGCAGTATACAGAGCAGTAAATACAGTAGTGTGTGTGTGTGTGTGTGCAATATGGGCGCTAAAAGGATGATGGGAATAATCATAGTTTTAAATCTGTTTAGCATATCAGTAGCCTCGTGAGGATACTTTTAGCGACAGCTCGCAATGCAAATGAAGTTTTAGAATATGCAAAATTTGGTTGTTGGTGAAACAATTTAAATTTCTGGTTGTCACGTGTAGCATCACAATAATTAAATAAATAAATTGTATCAGTTCCACGAGGCATGACCTTTCTGATGTGTTTGGCTTGTTTCAAACGTCGCGCTACTTATGTGTCGAACGCATTATTAAAAACAATAGATAATGAGATGAAATGCCTATGGTAACTGTTTATTTCGTGGTGTAAGCCATTAGCTTTACCGAACAGAAAGTCGTCATGCCCAAATAAGAGCTCTTGCAATCCAACATTTAATAAACAAGTTATGAAGGGAGTGATAAGGAATTGTTTATCTCTTAAAAAATGTTATTCTAATCCACATTTTTGAATAACGTGCCTACTCTAGCCAATACCTGCTCTAGCCTGTGCTTGCTACTGTTCTAGGTTGTCGGCGACCCTATATAATATAGTTCTTGCAGTGTCTTTTTCAATTTGAAACTTTACACTATCTTGGATCCCCAGTGTACTAATAAGTTTACAATATGTTACTATACATTTATTTATTTTTTCAGGATCCGATGTCCTCCTGGTCATTATTGTGAACTGAAAACGGAAACTCAGTTCCAATTTCCTTGCCCTGATGGCATGTACAATAACAAGTGGGGATTGGAAAGGGAAAATCAGTGTAGTGAGTGTAATGCTGGGTATACATGTACAGGAGGAGATCCTGGTGGGGATAAATTATGTCCACATGGACATTATTGTTTTCGTGGAAAAACTCAATGCCCTACTGGAGAGGGAACTGGAACAGGAAATATTTCTCCATGCAAGTGTCCTGGTGGAACATTCACTGAACAGCAAGGAGCTACACGTAAGTTCACTGATAATGCCTACATCATGTAGACAACATGGAAATACGTTTATAGTCTGGCATGAGTAAAGACTTTTCGCTGGCGTTACGCTCGCGCGCGCATTAAAAAATCTCGAACCCAGGTCGCTTATATATGTTCGACCAACTCTGTATTACTCTGTATATACAGTCGAAACAAAACTTGAAAATACGGCGACCATAGTAACAGAGCCAATTACGGGCCAAACAGCTAATTTGTAGAGATTTTGGGGGTCAAACAGTGAAAGTGGGAGTCATTGGTCGCAATTGATTATCCACCGCATTAGGAAAACCTTTGTGCACGAAAAAATTCGGACCCACTCTTACCTCGGTAACTTTTCTTCTTCCTGCTGCAAATGCGTTGATATGGTATTTGCTCGATGGCATCGGTAAAGAAAGAGCAAAATCACTGACAAAGTTCCAACTGTGGATTAAGGTGGAGCTAGTCTAAAGACAAAAGCTAGTTAAAATAAGTAATATTTATGGATTGTTTTGCCATGCAAGTTTATATTGTGTTTCAGAAAAGTCTCAATGCAAGACATGTCCAGTTGGTTATTATTGTCATAGTGGAACTGCTGAACCTCAAGCTTGTCCTCCTGGAACGTTCAATAACATGCCGGGACTGTCAGCTGATTGCAGGTCTGTGTTCTTGCTTACATGCACTGTGAAAGAATAAGCATGATTTCTAGGTCATTTCCCTGCACATGTCCTTTGATGTTTATTATTGAGTAATCCATATAGCTACAGGTAATACACTGTAGGTGGTTTTCGCCTTACGTCGTCGCTTCCATGTTGTTTTGTTTGCAATTTCATCCGACATGGCGAAAATCTTTTTGTTGGATCACTGAGGATTGGTTGGAAACCATCAATAATTTATGCATTGTTTCTGAAACGTCGATTGCACATGGTCAGCGTCTTCAGTTTTGTTTACTTCGGGTAATAACCTAATCCTGACAATGATCCCAACCGCTGACCCTCACCTATAAGCGGCAATCTTAGAAATAAGGGATATAAATTCATAGATTTACTGTATGTTATTTGCATATATTTTAACATTATATTAATCGAGTTCAATGGTTTTTGTTACTGTACAATGTATTTTTATAGACTTTATAACTATTTGTAATTTGAAAATTGGAACAAATTGTTCTTCATATAGTTACCTTTATCTATATCTTGCTTATTTTCATCAAATTTATCAGTCAAATTTTTCATTTATGGAATACATGTTCAGCTTCCCCCGTTTTTAGTGTGAAGTTTCTTCGAAACTTCACAGTATTGTGATGGTGGGGAAAATTCAAACGAAACAGTCAGTCAGTCAGTCATTCAGTCATACAGTAAACTTTCCGGGGGGCGTGTACGATTTATGTTCGTAGTGATTTATTGTGCTTAGTCAGTACTTTGAAGGTTATTTAGGCAATTTCAGTTAACTTATTTACATATTCTGTTATCCTTTTACCAAGTTCACAAAAATTTCGAGCAATCGCTTTCGTTATTGTAATTCTTTGTAAATTTTAGAACATTCGCTTCTCATGTTGTGTAAAGGATCTTTACCCCGGAACACCCGATTTTTCTTTAGTAGCGCAAATGCGCATGCGCTATCAAGCCGTAGATCACGATGGCGTGACGATATGCTAGGAAGGAGTGACAGTGTTGTTTTCAGATGTATAAACATTTCAGACGTGAATATTGAGTAAATCTTTGAAAATCTACGCAATATATAAATTGATCTTATGCATTACGGCCGTTCAATTAATAAGTGTCGATAATATTTAGGCGGTATATTCATTATACAGAGCTAGGAAGGAGCTAGACCGCCTAGACAGTGCATTTAAGACTCAAGTGTATAAACATTTCAGACGTAAATATTGAGCCGAAAATCTTTGAGATTCTAGGCATTCAATTGAGTGCTGATATTATTTTCACGGTATACTCATTATACAGGGGTACAGTATGTACGAAGAAGCGAGACAGTGTTGTTTTTCAAATATATAAACATTTCAGACATGAATATTGAGAAAATCTTTGAGATTCTACGCAATAATATGATATATAAATTGATGAGTATGGTTACCGGCGTTCAATTAAGTGCCCATCGATAGACGATATTATTTAGACCGTGTATTCATTATACATTGTTATTTGACTGTATAAGGTGCCACATCACAGAATAGTACACTCAGTCAAAGAGCGAAAAATTGCATCAGATCAATAAAGCATCAACAACTATTAAACAGAAGCGGGCGTTCGTACAGGCGTTTATGAAGAAAATATTGCGAGACGAAGGAAATCAGTTGAGTCAGAGCTCCTTATTTTAATAAGAAAGACGAGGAGATAGCCAATATGTTATCGCCAACGTGTTATCGCCAATCGCTTGGCTCACCAACAAGCTTTATGCAATGGAAGAAAAAAGCAAGGAGGTACATGTAGCCAACGTGTACTGTCGCGGACCTTGTTTACTGTCTAGCACAACGCCGTTGTCAACGGTGCAAATTCGTGTTCAGTGCAACGTTAACTCTACCAGATCTTACGAGAATTAATCTGTAGTATTCTGTACACAGAACTGTATCAAAGCTTGTCAAAACTGCTTTAAACACTGCTATAACTGTGAAACTATTGAAATCTAAAGTGACATTATTCAAAACATGCGAAAAGCTAAAAATAGACACAACGTGACACTGGGAAAAGTCAAAGGTCAATGCGGACTTGTTATTGTAAAACATGTCACAATTAGGTTAAAATGCGGAAGCGGATGGAGCGGACCACAGAACGGAAATGCGAAAAAAATACGGAACGGATGAAGATAAAATGCTTCCTTTCAATGATGTAACGACGTAGTGCTTATTATTTATAACATATCGTATACATCTATTTCAATTATAAGTTTGCAGTAGCCTTGTGCGGATGCTTTTAGCGACAGCTGCAATTGAAATTTCGAATTGTCGCGTGTAGCATCACAATAAATAGATAAATTGTATCAGTTTCACAAAGCACGTTTCTGATGTGTTAGGCTTGTTTCAAACGTCACGCTACTCGTGTGTCGAGCGCATTAAAAGCAATATATAATGAGATGAAATGCCGTTGGTGATTGTTTATTTCGTAGTGTAAGACATCAGCTTTTCTAGGTTGTCAGCGACCCTATATAGTTCTTGCAGAATCTTTTTCAATTTGAAACTTCACACTATCCTTGGATCCCTAGTTTTCAGTTGTATAGAGGAACTAGAGAACAATTTAGAACAAACCGGAGTATTGCATTGTTATTGATTGCATTACAATCATAAAATGAAACGTTTATGTTATTATCTGTGTTTTGTTTAGACCTTGTTTTGCTGGCATGGCATGTCCTCTGTATGGTCTATCCTGGCCAACACTGACATGTAACGCAGGCTATTACTGTCCTCAAGGATCATCTAGTCCAAATGCGACATTGAATGCATGTCCTGCTGGTACTTATACAGACTATCATAATTTGACTCATTCTCGAGAATGTACACCATGCCCTGCTGGCCAGGCCTGTGAAGCTGGGACTGGAGGGAGACAAAAACCTCCACAACTTTGTGCCAGAGGTTAGTGCATGCTACTACTTGGATCAGGGGGTGCATGTTTATATGAGCCTTGCATGAAGGACTGGCCCTACCGGGCGAAATCCGCGCGCCAACTGAAATCCTTATTAGAAATTGTTTTCGTTTATATGAGAGGAGGGCCAGGCGAGGTCTCGCTCTTGACTCCCCGAGATTTCGCCTATAGTAGGGCCAGCCCCTCATGTAAATTTCAGATATAAATGCAACCGGGTGGGCTGGATCTCTTAGTAGAGCTGAGTTAAAAAGCCTGCCGTATCCGTATCACAAGGTTTTTGCGATTCAAATATAAAGCTCTGGAACAATATATTCAATTTTATGTTGGTTATTGTTCGCAAATTTGCTTGGCAGAATACGGTTTTAGACTTCGTAATAAAATAGATGAGTTGAGTGAAGCCATGTAGGGATCATGTAAACACCCCTTCGGGTGTTTATTTCCGTGGTTTTTGCACATGCATCGGTTGCCACAGACTGGTTGCTCAATGTAAGTTAACAGTATTCGATTCACTGTGATATGATCAGTCCACTCAATGGATCAAGTTATCGGGTCAGTGGATCAGTCCCATATGGAAAGAGTTTATTCGGATTCTCCAGGTTTCGTTTGACTAGAACTCTAAGGAGAACTGTGAGAGCTGTCCACTGTAAAATGTAGATAAAGATGGTTTAGCTTGGTTTAATTTAACTACACGGTATACTTTCGTGAAACTGTGTTACAAAATATAATAATTATTTAATTTTGCCTTCGTAGGTCATTATTGTCCTATGGGTACGCGAAAACCTACCCAATACCCGTGCACTGCTGGTTCCTGGGGTAACCTGACCAACCTTGAGAAACAAGCAGATTGTTATCAATGTCCTAAGGGTTGGTACTGTCTTGAAGGAAGTGATAAACCTACTGATCTCTGTGAAACTGGACATTTTTGTCCGAGAGGTAAGGAACATCCAAGATAACGTACAACACCACCCTAAAATCCTCTTCAAAACAGACACCTCTCTAATGCGGACACTTGCTGTGTCCCTCCATGCATGAGTGTTCTAATTTGAGAGCGTTGACTGTATACCATACGTTATATAGTATCTGTTTTGGCTTCGGTATATATATGACGTTATGATATGTAATACACTATATATACATTATACAGTATATGAGCGGCCGTGTTGTATAGATATACAAACTCGACCTGAGGGCGAGAGGTTTTATGTTTGATACAACACCGACGCGAAAGCTGCATATTGCTTGTGAAACGTAAGAATTTTAAAAGTTGTGTTCCTGACAACTGTGCATTATCCTATTCATGGGCAGAAATTACGGACATAATATATATTACTTCCTTACTAATTTACATATCACGTTGAGATTCAACTGTAAACAGTGAATTGTATTACGCCATTGACATTGTGAGAGTAAGATTTTGCAACTTAATTGCCGCACTTGCTGGAAGCAAAACAAAGTCTTTCGAAGTATTTAGTGTAACATTGACCGGGTTTTGGTCACTATCCATCCTGCATTTTAGTTTATTCTGAGTGTGGTACATTTATATCTTTTTTATATATTGTATATAAACAATGACCTAACTTTTGTAGAAATATAGAAAAAATGAAAAATTAGGCTCGTTGGAACTTATGTAAACGAAGCCAATATTACATTAAATAGTTCGACAAACTTTGTATTAACCATGCTTCCGGCAAGTGTGGTAACTTGCGAACGACCTAACCTTATTCGCATATTATGTGATTTACAACATCGCGCAATACAATTTACTGTTCACAGTTGAAGCTATGTTTTAACGTGACATGTAAATTAGTGAGGGAGTGGAATATGTTGCGTCCGTAATTTCTGGCCTGCATGTTATGTGATAGTTACGTCATTGTCAGCCTCGATCTCCCATCCTTGTTTCATGTGCACTCAGAATATGCTGGAAGTGTCTATTAAAAAAAATAGAAATTATAGGCAGTACCAAATATATAATTTGTTTTACTAGGCACTCGTTATGGAACCGAATTTCCTTGTAGTGCTGGGACATTTTCAAATCGTACTGGTAATGTGCGCTGGGAAGTCTGTGACGACTGTCCTCAAGGTCATTACTGTCCAGCTGGAACTTCTGTTCCTAAGAAATGTCCCAGAGGATCATACTTGGAAGAAATCAGAGCCCGGGTAAGGAAAATATCTTAGAGAAAATATCTTTTTGTATAATAATGATTGTTCACAGACATCAATTAGCAGAAGGGTTGAGAATTGTTTCTGTCGATCACGTGATTGATTGATTCAACGACACAATAAAGCTCCGTGGGCAAATTTTTCTGGGAGGGGGTTTGAAGTCCCAACCAACTACTTAAATTTTCTTGAATTATAGTCTTTTACATATTTGCAGTACCGGTGAAATGATTTACCAGGGTTTAAAATAAATATTTTGAAATTAGATATATTTCTAGGCTGTTTGGTACATGTACTTTTTGGCGATTTGTTCAGGTTTCATGCTTTGATGGCCTTATCCAGAAAATACCCCACCACCCAAAAAGACTGCAGGCCCTTAATACCAAGGACACAGATCAAATTTCGATTTTCCAATCTAGATTGACAGAAAGATTACAAAGTGTGCATCAAAATTAGACTGCACGTGCTGTTATCTTTTTAAACATCAAATTCACAAATTTAAACATCAATGCCCAGCATAATGTAGGTATACATAAGCCATCACAAAATGAAATTTTAAAACTCCTTAATTATGCGCATTATGCATGCTGGGCATTGATAGCCATGCTATTTTAAACGATGTTTACCCATAGAAACTTTGTACTTCTCTAGGAGAGTCAGGGTCCCGCTCATAGAAAAAATATCTGAAATACTAATACAGAATTAAACCCATGCAATCTCCACTAATCAACAAGGTTGCCTGTGGACATACGTTACTTTTTTATTACCCATAACATTGCAGTCATAATGATCTCACTTAATTTTGAAATATTATATTCTAGATTGTTTCAGAGTGTAAAACATGTCCTGCTGGTTACGTATGTGCTGAATCAGGCACTATTTATCATGAACAATGTGGGAGAGGAAATTACTCCGTAAGTGTTGATGAGACGTTCTAGTTTCGTAGTACTTTTTCTTTATGATATTAAGGATTAACATTCAAGCATGAAAATCTTATAATATTAGCAAAAATATTGCTGTCACTAAAGTTTGGTATGCAATATCAACACAAGCAATGCCTCCCCCCGTCCCCCTAATGGCTTTGAAAAACCGAGGGAAACGTTTCTTGTGAGTTTCATTTTGTTCATGACGCCACACGTTCTGTTTCCGATTTTATACGCTTAACCTTAAGTCGAAGTGTTACTGTATGTCTCATGCTTATTGTATTTGGCTGTTTTGCTGTCTTTTCTAAACCGTGCACTGCTTTGCTAGTGGAAACTGCTAGGATTATTAAAAATTCGTAAAATATGTAGTGTCCTCCACTGAAAACAAAACGAAACGAAACAATTGTATTTATTTATTGCCATGACTTGTTAAATTTATTTATTATCTTTGGTTTCATCCTCTTGTGTGTATGATGTATCTAACTGGAAAAGATTTTGAAAATCCATAGAAGGTCATAGAATGGAAATTGTATGGACCTTTATTGGAAATAGAATGGATTTTGCTTATCCATAATAATTGTATATTAATTTCCATGTATATTTCCAATGGTATGGATATACTATGGATTTAGTGCATCATGGTGCAATTGCAAATTTCCTAGTATGGATTTCGCATTTTTTTCCAGTGTCTTCAAACCCTTGAATGTAAATCTTACGTAACTTTTATTTTCTTCGTTTCTTTATTTTTTAGTCGCCAGGAGCATATGTGTGCATTACTTGTGAAGTAGGGTTTTATTGTGCTGATGATGCAACCAGTCGAACAGTAATGTTGAATAAAATGATCTGTCCAGCCGGCATGCATTGTCCAGCTGGTAGTGAAATTGCACCAGATCTCGTGAAAAATGCTTGCAAGAAAGGACATTATTGTTTGAAAGGGAATGAGGTATGGTGAAAGAAAGTTGACCGGCAATACATCATGATCTTGTTACTCTCCTTATAAAAACATGAAAGTCCATAATTTAATTTTGCAAATTGAGCACTCTAAAGTCCGTAATCTCTAATTCTTAAATCCAACGTACCTTGCATTTATACAGAATGAGGAAGAGCTAGATACCCACTCTCATTTTCCTTTTAGGCACATATAGGTGAAAGGTATAAATTAAGAGGCAATCATGCAGTAAATCGCTTCAGTTTCTAATTCTATTTTATGACTCAAGCACTTTTATTTTTAGTATAGTTATCAGTTTTTACAATCTAAAATGAAAATGAACTTTGGTAAATTAACATGGAATCATCAGAATTTGAAACAGAAAGATCATACTGTAAATCACAATCATTGTTGCCATGACAATTATTATCATGCCAATGGTGTCACCTTTACATATTTCGAACACCATAGAAGATATTGAAAAATTATTAATAACTAACATTACAGTTTAAAAGTTCCTTTCAACTAGATAAATTTCAAACTTGAGTATGATCACATATGTTAAAAATATAGACCTCGTGTTTTTCAATGCGCGTGGTTAAAAAATAGACAGACCGTAGATTGTACGATATTATACATGTGCAACAATAGTTAAACTATGCTAGGCTGTAGTTATATTCAGGACATTATCGCAATTAATTTTTGTTGTCAAGTATATGTTTGTAAATTTGATTTTTCAAGATTCCCAAATCTCATTTCCAGGCCTGCTAGAATAAGAATGTGATAATTTCGGAAATATTCCTAACCTAACGAAACTATTTTTCTTTACATATAGAATGCATATGAAATTCCGTGTCCTAATGGAACTTTTAATTCCTTTACCGGCCGAAAACACGTCAGTGATTGTCAACAATGTCCTGAGGGGTACTTCTGTGAACGACAGGGCTTAGAAAAAGTCGTAAGTATTGTGTATATACATCGTTTACTCTTTTTGGATACATAAGATGTTTGTATAAGATGTTCGGATAATCGGTTTAAAAAGTTTCTGGATTTCGAATTTTTCATAGTTGAGCCGGTTTTGAGTGGAAAAACCTGTTATTTTATCGTGGATAATTTAATTTATTTTAGGTCGGTTCAAATATTAATAGATGCATGATTTTTAATTTCAATAGACAATTCCCATTATAGACTAATTTTAAAACTAGGCAAGGAGATGCAAATAAATCACCACAGCTAGAAAGAGCATACTAAAATTAGTAAAAAATTTGGTTGCGATGTAAAATGTGGAAAATATAGCCTTGCAAAGTTTGCAAATTTTGTATACTTTTGTATTGCGTGCGACATTTTCGGCCTAAATGTGGTAGGAATGTGGTAGGAATTTCCGCAAGCAATACAAAAGTATACAAAATTTGCGAACTTTACAAGACTATATTTTCCTCATTTTACAACATTTCGCAACCAAACTTTGTAATTTTACTAATTTTAGTATGCTGTTTCTAGCTGTGCTATTTATTTGGGTTTCCTTGCCTAATTTTAAAATTAGTCTATAATGGGAATTGTCTATTGATATGTGAGTTTATTGAGTTTCTGACTGAGCGCGCGGGTTTCCATAAAGGCTATTGCCCAATTGATAGGGGACCGAGGTCCGTATACCTAGTGCGTTTTAACCTCCTTATCCGAGATGACGGGAAAGTCTAACCATTTACTAATGTCAATGTAAAGGTAGCACTTTTTCCTCAATTATTTTAAGACCTTGAGTAGAGGCCCGACCCTGGATTCAGGAATGAACCCGCGAGTCTCCCAGCTTGAAAGGCAACTGAATATATTGAACTAAATGTAGCTTCATAACTAGGTGTCAGTAGCATTTCACAGAACTGACCTAAAGCCTTCATTGCCTGTCAAGATAAGGATGACTAATTCAAAGTAATCGCCTTTGTCGTGGTTTCCTACTAGGGTGATTCCCGGAAAATGTTGGTGAAAACACTACAAAAGCGTTATACATGACATTCAGAAACTGTTTTTCTATGAATTCTAGGAAGGAGATTGTCCACCTGGTCATTACTGTCCCTTTGGAACTGCTTATAGAAATTCCTTTCCTTGCCCAATCGGTTTTTACCGTAGTGCATCTTCCGCAATATCAGAAATGGATTGCTCAGTTTGTATTGCTGGATATTACTGTGAAAGCAAGGGACTGCCTTTATCTGAGCCTTGTCCTGTTGTAAGTACAATAAATGCATTTTTGCATCGGCTTTCGGTTAGGTTTTAAATATGGTATTTTTCATATGGTGCTACACAGTAAACTTGCTGATGGTAAAATTCAAATGTTTTGATGCTAAATGGTACCATTACAAATATTTGCCAATCAATCTATAACTTCATAGTTACTTTGAGAACTGTCGTTTTTTCTAGAGTGTACCACTATATATGTGTTGCAAATGCCCCACTATAATCTACCTAAACTTGCATGAAATTTACCAATATCGCAAAAGCAAATATTTCCGTATAGAAATTTCTGTAAATGGTAATTTGGATAAAACCAAACACCATAAAAGTGCAACCTCTGGCAGGAATCGAACCTGCAGCCCTGCAATTCCGGTGCAGCGCTCTAACCAACTGAGCTACAGACTCCAGTTGTCGAGCTCTAACCACAAGTTCCTGTATATATATACTAGGGTACTGCCATGAGGTATGGGTAAATATCAAGATTTTGTTGGCATCTCACTCGATTGAATAATAGTTGAAGGTTTTGGGTCTGAGGTGCAATAAATATATATAAAATTTACACTTGATAATTTCCATCTACAAAATCTTTCAACTATTCAATCGAGTGAGATGCCAACAACATCGTGATATTTATATTTTATACTACAAAGAGCACTTTGCACCACGAAAACACTGCTTTGTAATGCGTCACAAGCCATTAGGTGTTTGTTTTTCACAATTTCTTAACGCGAAAAATAAGATATTTTCGGTTCTATAGTTCATCCCCAGGTTTATGGTATACTTTCTTTTTTCCAGGGGTATTTCTGTCCCACTGGTTCAACAAGACCTCAGCCGTGTCCTAATGGTTACTATGGCAACTCATCACACGTGAAGAGAAGTGAAGATTGTGCACCATGCCCTGCAGGAGAATTTTGTGCCGGATTTGGTTTAACAAAACCAACAGGATTGTGTGATGCTGGCTTTTATTGCAGAGGGAAAGCTTTTACATCGGTAATGTTCATGGATTCTTTTTTATAGTATGGAACTCCCATTGTTTTATATTTTGATATTGTATAGTCCAGTGTGCGTCTAATATGTCTCGTATCAAATATGCTTAAAGGTTACTAAAAAAATTCTAAGAATCTGTGAAAATTTCTGAAAATACCTTGATGTTTTCAGTTCAGAAGAAATCCATTTCAATATATATGAAAAATCCCGAAATCGTTTGCGGTCCACGATATTAATGTCGAAAAATGCTTCAACGTCACTCACAATCCTTTGAAAATCCCAGAAAATCCCAAGAAATTAATATCTTCAAATTTCGCACTCTCTTCAATCATTCACCCATTGGTCAACACGCTTTAATTTATAGCCTACAAACTTGACAACATGAACATTTCGCCAGTCTGAACATATTTCAAACAAAACTGTGAGTTCTATTGTTAAGCATTCTAATAATATTTTATTAGAGATCCACGACAGAAGCGCCTACACGTAAAATACGTATCCCAAAATCTTGAAATACAAGGCCGTTGGGTTCTCCCAGAAAAAAAGAGTAGAATTCAGACCTTTCGAATTCGGCAAGCCACAGGTGTGACACTTGTCCATGGTTGCACCATCCTATAAGAAATGTGGCATATAACGCGTCCTATCCAGCACGGAATTGATCGGGACCGAATACGATACATCGTAGATATATGAACATTGTATTTGTATACATGTAAAATTTAGATTAAAAACAAAGGAATTTTGCTTGAAGTAGTACATGCACATATTAATTATCTCTTCTTTCTTTGTGTTTAATTACTTACCAGGCTCCACCAGACGGTCCTACTGGAGGTCTATGTCCTGCAGGTGGCTATTGCCCGGAGGGAGCAAAAACCCCACAGTCGTGTCCGGTAGGGACCTATAGAAAATCGAAAGGAGCAAGTTCACCAGCAGACTGCCAGGCGTGTGATCCAGGGTAAGAATAAACCTTTTCCTAGTTCGGAAAACATTTTATTGCCAATTTTATTTAGGTTTTAGCTATACCTGAATTACGAACAGTCGGTTTGTTTTGCTACACTGTCGCGGGAGGCGTTCGCGGGTGGTTATCAGCTTAGCTACATATTTTCAAGCGCGCGTCACGCGACCGCGTTACTTAGGCAGGTGATATGATGAGTTCTAGTGAAACCTGGAGAGACGACGAAGGTTTTAAGGCTACCTCCTTTTTACTATTGCTGGTGTACTGTATTGTTTTGAAAAATGAGCGTGTAGGTTCCAAGACAGAATCTTACACGGCCTTGCATGCATGCAAAGATACGAATTTTATTATTCATCTTCATAGCAAATAACATTTTTCACGACACAAGTTGTGCATAGCTATTACACTGTTAATAATATAGCAACATGCAGTGCAATTGTTTCGAAGTACAGTGCCAAAAAATGAAGTGCATGCTGCAAAAAAAGAAATACAGAGCAAATTTCTTAATTTTTAAATTTTCTTAATTTTGTATTTTTTAATTTCTATAAATGTGACTTACGCACGTGACTGCATAATTTTTTCATGTATATTATTAATAAATAATTGTATGGTTTCTCGTGCAATTTGAAAAACATATACTCTTGAGTTTTTCAAAGACTTCAAATTACACTCCTCCTTCGGATTCGTGCAATTTTGATATTGCATATTTTTTTCAAATTGCACTCGAAACCATACTATTACCTATACTAACTTCAGGGAGTTAATTTAATTTCAGCAGAGTTATTTTGAACCCAATTTTAATCCACATTTGGAGTTAAAGTTGGTTCAAAGTAATCCTATACTGGGAGTTGAATTAACGCCCTGATTAATGCACCAATTCGTTAAGCAAATATTCTAAGACAATTAAGAAAACAACTATGACACACACAATGTTGTGGGAGAAGGGTTGTCGAGGAGAAATGCTCCGATTATACTTTAAACTGTGGCCAAAGTGTCGCCCCACAGACTCACTATTACAGCAATATGATTATGATATAATTATATGTCCTCAGGGGGTCGTAGTTCCCCCATGTTGGACTTTACCCAAGGGGTAGTAGATCCCCGAGATGGGCATCCTAAATGTCCAAGGGGTAGTAGATCCCCGTGATGGTCATTGCTTACTTTAACGTCCAAGGGGTAGTAGATCCCCGTGATGGTCATTGTTTACTTTAATGTCCAAGGGGTAGTAGATCCCCGTGATGGTCATTGTTTACTATACAATACACTGTATAATACATTGATTTGTGTGAGTCTATGGGGTTGAGGGTGACATTTGGGAGCACTCCATCCCCACAAATACACAGCATGTGTATTCCCCATAGACGAAAAAACCCAACTCCCACCACAACTGTAATCGTATAGAAGACAGCTTCTGACAGATAATCTTTGTGCTTTTCGAACACATATCGTCTATATTTCTCTTTCGACACAATTTAAATAATTAATTGATTAAAATCATGTTATATGCAATTTTTTCTTTAAAACTACACATTTGATCGTAAGACATATATTTGAGTATTACCATCACTCATACTACAGCTGGAACATCAGGGAGGCCAGGAAAAACCTGCAATATCTTTACAGGAAACCTGGATGGGGCCAAGACAACCAGCAGCTTCCCCACAAAGCTTCTATCTTACAAGTGCGTGATTGGAGGGTTGGTAACACGACAAACAAAGCTCACCATCATTTTTTTTTTTTACGATTTATTTATTTTTAATGTCAATGTGCTCGTTGACAATTTTGCAACATGTATTTGTTAACTCCACTTATTTTATTTGAATTATGATTGGTGGAACTTGACACAATATAATTCTCGAATTATGTATGATTGTACGTGACTCTTTAATCTCAGAAAAATAGCTTGTTCAATATTTTAAAATAGCAGGATCAAAAATTCAAAATGCAATTCAGGTGTTTATATTAAACCACAGTTTTGTGATTGAACATGCAATCATGCATGCATGAGAATAGCAGAAATTGTAAGAATATGTATTTGGTAGACTAAAGATCATGCAGTATAGTGATAAGACACTAAAATGAATTTTCATGAGTAGCGACATACCATACACTGTACGTATATACCAATCTTTCATGACATCCAACTTGCCGATTTATCACAAATGTAGATAAAGTAGATCTTAAATTTCTCTAGTCTGCGCACAGACTGTCCCTAATCCCCCCCGTGGTGGAAGGATATGCAAGCAGACTAAAATTTCTCTCACACATGAACTTGATTTCCTATGTTGTGCCCAGTAAAGTATTGATAATGTATACGGGCCAAATAATTAAGTGTTTGTTTTATTAAAGAGTGCCTTGAAATAGCTAGAAAGGAAGTTTTATATAATCTACTTTTGAATGATTGAATACGGTTTAATGTGACACTTTATTGAAACCCAATTCCCGAATCAGAGGCCCAATCTGGCCGGGTAATAACCTCAAGATGGTAATAAAATTGACATTGAAATACAGATCGATTTAGCGTGAATGGTCGATACATTTGGCGTTCGACAATTACTATACCCGAATTCTGTGATAAAATAAATGAAGTTAAAGCATTTTGATTGGTTTGAAAAGCGAAAAACGAAGCAAACGTGTGAATTCACCGCATACTTACGCACCAAATGCATGTGCATACATAAATACATTGATATACGAATGATATCAAATGACGCTTGTTGAATTCGTGTTTAGCCTCTCGATCTTGTTATAATTCCCCCAGCGGCGGTTTCATTTAACTTCATCGGTTGAGCCAACGTATTCCTTTGTCCACCAGGAGGGTAAAAGCGCTTGACCACGGTAGAGTTATACTTGAATAGACTGCGTCTCACTGAATCACACATCGATACTTGAGCCAACGTATTCCTTTGTCCACCAGGAGGGTAAAAGCGCTTGACCACGGTAGGGATATACTTGAATAGACTGCGTCTCACTGAATCACACATCGATACTTGAGCCAACGTATTCCTTTGTCCACCAAAAGAGTAAAAGCGCCTGCCGAGTTATATTTGAATAAACATCGTCTCTCTGAATCATACATCAATACATCAGCCAAGGTATTCCTTTGTCCACCAAAAGAGTAAAAACGGTTGCCCGCGGCAGAGTTATATTTTACTGATAAACTGCGTCTCACTGAATTTCATATACGTCAATACTTGAGCCAACGTATTCCTTTGTCCACCAGAAGAGTAAAAGTGCTTGCCCGCAGCAGAGCTATATTTGAATAAACTGCGTATCACTGAATAATACTGTGTTACTGACCGTTGTTTTATATCCACGATATATCTTTTCCAAAAGTATAATTTCGAAGTACTTTGCCGCAGAGGTCATACAATTTTGCTTGCAAGTGACACAATTAGGCTTACTGATCCAAGCAGGAAACTATTCAGACGAAAAGGTGAAACCTGATTGGTCTATTTTCCCGCACATGCATGGGAAGAGATTTGACAATGGTTTGTTGTTAATTCAGCCTTGTGCTTTGCACGTGTATGATCACATGATTCACAGATTGACCTTTGTACCAGACCTTTGTACTCCAGGAGACTTTGCACAACTTTACTCTTGTCCTAACGCTTGTTTCATTAACTTAAGTTTATAATGCTATGGGCATGTATAAACTTGCTATTTAACAGGGTACAATTGAAATGGTGCGCATCATCATGGTTTACATTCTACTAAACCCATACAAAATAATTCTATACGATTCATGTCACACCATCTCTTACCTAGCCTGCATGGCAGGCGGTCCCTAAAATCGGGCAAGCCTGGGAAAGACCTATGTCTTACCCAGCTATACCATAAACCATTAACGTATGTGAGCCCAGTTTAGATAGATTTCGAAAATAAACTCTCTAGCTGTTTGGTCGAATCTACCTTCGTATGCCCTACAACATACCCCCAATGGAAAAGGGAACAAAGTTTATTTAATGTATAAAACACCATATCTATACCAACAATACCGTATTGACGTAATGTACTAAGCAACTAAGGATGTCCATGTTATAGATATTACTGTGCAGGAGATGATAACCCAAAAACTACAGGAAAATGTTCAGCAGGTTATTATTGCACTGGTTCATCAGCAACACCTACCCAGTTTCCAGCTTTACATGGACATTATGCTGAAGAAGGATCACCCTACATGGTGAAATGTCCCATTGGAACTTTTCAATCAGTACGTTGCACTTTATTTTAATTAGTTCATTCATTCAGTTTGTGTAAGTCATTGGGGTGCGTGTGTGTGTGTGCATGCGTGTGTGTGTGTGCATGCGTGGAAGTCGTATGTTCCACCGTAGTGCTCAGGAAGCGACGAATTGAAATATGCTACGTTTTGGTACGATACTGTTACTATAATATGTATTAGATAACTTAATCACGCCTGTCTGTTATTACAAATTCCAAAATTTTAGTGTTGAATTAATAAAGTCGCTCATCTTACAAAATAGATCTTTTTTAATTAATGGGAAGAGACCATTTCTCTTGTACATAAATTTCAGGTCCGTGCTACGGTTATAGAAAAATGTTTACACTTTTGAATTATTTCTATTGTGGAAAGTGACAAGAATTTATTAGATATGTAATTAATACCGTAACTACATAACAGGTATAGCATGATAAAAGATCAATTGATCTTGGAAGTCCTTAGGAATACGTGCACGTCACTGTTAAACAATAGAGAGCTTAAGATCCACGACGCGACCGGCTCAACGACGCGATCTGAATTTCAGCTCAAGAATGAGCGCTAAGCAATTTCATTACTTTAAATTACAAACCACTAAGTTCGACTAAAGCTCTTGGGTCGCATGCAATAAGCTTTCACGTTGCTTGAAGATGTCATAATGCTTAGTTTAACGTTGTGTTGAGAATGACAACGCGGTTGAGGATACCCCTGGAACCAGAAAGTATTCACAGTTTTTGTCTAGCATGACAAATTTCTTTCTTTCGCAAGCGCGTCTTATTATAAACTCTCTAATGAATATTTGACCCACATGTATCCCACTTTCCATTGCGTGCACCTCATGTGGATTAAAAATTGGAAAATTGCGTGATGCAAGTACTTCCAGGGTTGCCTCGTCCCCAGTCGCTTTATTAAATTCGCGGGGAGGGGGATAAAGGGAGACATTGGAGGATATTCGTCTTCCAAGCATGCACCACAACAGATTTGTACAGCCACTGATCTATATATTAAACTGATATGTCTATATATACACTGATCTAGATTTGTTCAGCCACTGATCTATATATTAAACTGATATGTTTATATACACTGATCTATAAATAGTAAGGGCCTGCGGAGGAGGCAGCTTCCAGGGTCGATTGAGTGCTACTACGTTGAAACATATTGTCCTTACGTTGTCTTGTTGTCGTTATTATTTTCATATGGATATTTTGTTTTTGTTCTAGTCTGACCGAATGGCTAAGTGTGACACTTGTATTGCCAAGAAATACTGTAATGCTAGTGGTCTTATCAATCCTCCTCTATGTCCAACTGGCTATTATTGTCCCACGAATAGTACATTACCCACCCCATGTCCTGCGGTAGGTATTTTCAGACGATTAGAAGTATTTTAATTCCAGCGAATAAAGTACAAGTATTTTGCACATTGTTGTGTTTGGTTTTGACGATTTGGGTAATAAATTCCAAAATCTGCAACGTGAGGTCTAAGTAGATTCCAGTAGATTCCAAAATATTATAGTTTTTAAGTCACATTGATCACAATTACAAAGATCAGAGAGTTTTTGCAGAAGTAGAATGAAATCATTTTCTATCCCTATGTATGTCTTCAAACTGCCATTTGGCATGTTCAATCGAATAAAATTTCCTTTATATTTCCCCTGCACCTTCTGCTTTTTCACCACGTTTAGGGTACATACAATCCTAATTCAGCCGAAGACTCAGAAAAAGCATGTCAATTGTGTGACGCAGGTAAATATTGTCGGCGAGAGGGACTGGCAGCCGATGAAGGTGATTGTTATGCTGGATATTACTGTGTACGAGGATCACCACATCCAAATCCTGTGAGTATGCTGTCCAGTATAATATGAAGTTGAGGATTTAAAATTATACTAAATGCATACATGCATGTACTGTAGCTATGTATTGAATGTTGGTGTTTAAATTTTTAGTTTGCCTACAATTAGCATCCAACATTTGACTATAGACATTACTTAAAGCTGCACCGTAGTTGCACAAAGTAGAACCTATTACCATGTGCAATACTTGCCTACTTGGCCATTACGAATTTCACCTGCATCTTGTATTGCGAAAAATTACAACTTTGCGAGGATAGCGTAGCATCGTCCTGAAGATCCTATTTTATTTTCAGTGCGTTTTATCGTACGAATATCACACTAACTGTAAGTCTTTTTACGTTATTTAGGGAAATCTAACAAACGGGCTCTGGAATGGTAACTTTTCTTATGGCGGGGTTTGTCCTGCTGGCTATTACTGTCCCGCTGGTACCTCACGTGCATATAATACACCTTGTGAAAATGGAACATACAATGCTTATCCTGGAGGTAAAAGTATTACAGACTGTACACCATGTGATGGTGGTCGTGTCTGTAATGGAAAAGGTCTTAGTGCTCCTAATGGTGAATGCCGTGCTGGATGGTACTGTGAAAAAGGTGCTAAATCATCAACGCCAAACGATGGTACTACAGGGGATCTATGTACTGTAGGTCACTACTGTCCAAATGGTACAAGTAAACCCCAGCAATGTAAACCAGGAACATACAGGTTAGCTATACTTTTCTTCATTCTAACACATCTCACAAGAAAATTTGTTCTTTTCGTCAGTCAATTTTTAGTGCGGTTATGTGTCCTTGTGGACTATTATTGTTAGGGAGTGCAACTTACATAAGTAACTCAACAATAGATGGGAAGATAGGTAGATGGATAGAGCAAACAATCCGGGGGGGGGATTCAGATAATATTCTGTGGAGCTTGGCTAGGTGCGAAGGAATAAAGGACTTTCTAGATATATCATGCGTAAAACAGCGAGGTTCAATAAAAAGACGCTTTTGTATATAGCATCTCTAGTTAACATTAAGAACTGCTAATAGATTGTACTTTTTGTGGAAAAGGGAAAGGTTTGTAATTGTCAGACCATCATTATGTGGTATCCCAGGTCATGGGCCGTTTGTGTTCAAGATCAATATCATCGCTAATACACGGGCAGCGTATCCAATAGTACTACGCATACACGTTCAGTAAGTAAACGATATCGTCACGGGACTATATGTAGTATCTCATTAATTGTACTGTTTAACTTATTTAGTGACAGCAGGGGTCTTGCGGTATGTACGATATGTCCTGAAGGAAGATATTGCAATGATTCTGTCAATCCTCAACCGTGTCCCAAAGGACATTATTGTCCAAATGGTTCCCATGATCATAACTGGAAGAAATGTCCTCCTGGAACATGGAACCCTTCCGTGAGTAATATAGATCTTTAATACAGTCAGGTGAAATGGGAAACAATGTATAGAATGTCTTACGATTTGTACTGTTCGTGAGGAAAGAGGAAAAGCTTTTAACCAGGAACTTCTCAAAAGACCGCACGTGCATATGTGTATTAAATCTGCCCTTCAGTTTAGTCACTTTCTCTAAACCTACGTTCAACAACGTCTGAAATGCATGCTGCGAGTTCATTTAATGAAAAGCAACTTATCCCCCAGTCAACATGATTAAATTGATCACTTTCATATTTTAAGACTGAAATTGGCCGGGAAGACGAGTGTCAGCAATGTTCACCTGGAAAATATTGTCGGAATTATGGAGTACTTGACTTCACATCAGGAGATGGAAGTGGGTCATGTTATCCTGGCTACTACTGTAAAAGCGGTGTCAACACTCCTACACCGAGTGCAAATTTCACTGGTGAGTAATAACATAATAATGTGCAAGAAAATATTATTACTGTCGACTGTCATAGCGGAATACAATGCAGTTAATGTCGAAACATCAGCGTAATAAACTACAATAATATATTATTATATTAGCAGTCCAATATTCTGTAACAATAGTACAGGGAATCTGTAACCTCTAATTAATTCAAACACAATAAAAAGGAAGGCTTATCCTTTTCCACCGAGAAAACTGCTTTGAAACAAATTGGGCCAAACTGAAAGTTGAGTTCTGAATAAAAATGTGGAATTCGGTTTATCGTTACGTATAATATTGTCAATGACAAAAACTGCGCCAATTAAGAAGAGCTGCATGGAGGGACTTGTGGCCTGTTTAGTGAAGCGTCCAAATCATATTGCGATATGATAGCGATAAAACGCATAGCAAAGGCAATGCAACGAAGACTTTTGCGGAGGACGGTTCACCAAAGCTCGCACGTTTCCGCATTCGTTTGCTAATTTTTATTTGTCCTTTAAAGCCTTGATTATCAGGATCAAACGAGGTTATCGCAAGTTTAAATTTTGAGGCATGAAAATGCCAAATGCCAAAATATGCGGTTTAAAAACTTCGAAAAATATACTGTTTACAGAAAAGGCTAAAGTAGATGTATTGAGCCAAATTCCAATTGGATTTCAAAACAGATCCAACACAACTAATGAGTAAAAATTGTGTATACTCATCACCAAGAAGTTATATCCTCACCAGCTCTGTACATGCTAAAAGAATATAAAAAGTATACATAAAAAAATTAACATAACTGGATATAATAAATGTGTTATTTCCCATAGGTATTGGAGGGTTATGTCCTGAAGGAATGTACTGTCCTGAGGGGACTGCAGATCCTGAAGGTTGTCCTGCTGGAACGTTCTCTAATGTGAAAGGATTAAAGAATTCATCTGAATGTCAGCTTTGTTCGTATGGAAAGTATTGCGCTGAAAAGAATTTGACATCTCCATCAGGTACCGATATATTGTATACAATAATTACAGTATATATGTGGTGTTTTGCCTAGCTGTATTTTTTGGCTCATTCTTTAGGTTAAGAAACCTGTGTATAAACGGTGAAATATATACCAGAATCTAGCTTTGTACTTCTCGCTATTTTTCGAGAATTGAAATATTTGTTAAAATTTGTTAAAATGCGGATATTCGCGTAACCTCTACTGAAGAATAGGACACAATACATGAACGTCAGCGTAAAAGCGTGGTGCACAGTTACTGATAGTTTGTCACGACTCGCGACTGTCAGGTGTTGTTAACCTTTTGTTTCATCGTCGTTATAGTTCAGTCTTGCATTCTTGCATTACATTATAGCATAAATTATCCACAATTTTTGACCAACTTGATGAACTTATTTTATGAGATATTAGGGAGCCTAAACACGGTCGTCAGATTGCCGAGGGGAGACTGGGTTAAAAACAGTGTTTGTGTCAGTTTGTGGTAATCTTAACACGTGACAAAACACAATTTTTTATGAACATGAAGTTTTTGAAGCAAAATGCCGCCAAAATTAGTTATACCAATTTTCGGATGAGGCCCATGTTGACAAAAACGTCGCTTGCTTAATGGACCTTTCCCCTTATAACTAAAATTTTGATCTAGACAAAAATTTCATCACAGCTTGAAAGAGCATCACAAAATTAGCAATATTCCAAAGTTTTGTTGCAAAGTCTTGTAAAATGCGGATAATATAGCCTTGCGAAGTTTGCCGTTTTTCAGTCATTTTGTATTACAAACGGGAAATTGACATCCGATTCGGGTGTTGGGG